GTTCGGTTGTGTTGGGCCAGTCTGGGCCAAAATGCCCGGGCCGATTTTTTGTCCCAGTCCAGCCCTGTACTCACAGGTGACCCCAAACCCCCCCACAAAAAAAGATACAAATAATAATACAAATAATGTCCTTTTGTAGTGTGTATACATACGATTTCTTATCAAACTGTGTTAACTGTGATTAAATTCAGTATATATATACGTCTGCCATGTTGCCACCCCTCAAAAATTCCTGCCCCCCTCTTGCCACCCCATAAATATTTTTCTAGATCCGCCCCTGCTGTCCGCTGCACTGCATTGACAATAAATACAAAATTAAGGATAATTTTTGGCTTCAGATTTCGAGAAAAGATGACTTTACCCGTAGCGTAAGCAACTTACGCAATACAAGAGAACCTCTCGTAAGAGAACATGGAAATAATTTGTCGTTTTTATTTTTTTCTATATTTATTTCCTTGGTCAGTGGGTTTTGGTTCTTTTACTGTTGTAGGCTGTAATGACCTTTGAAATAAATAAAATCATTTGGCGAAGTGATATGGTACTGTAATGCAGTTAAGACCTGCCTGGAACTAATTTTCCCTAAAAAAATAATTGCACACCTTAGAACATTCGTAAACCAATTAGAATCAAGCATTCAACAGCTCCGTATAAGCAATCAGAATCCCTTCCCTCTTTTAAAACTTGAGTTCTAGAGGTTGATCAAAGGCTTGCAGAGATGAGGAGTGATGTGGAGCTTTTCTTTGTCCTCTCTCTCTCTCTCTCTCTCTCTCTCTCTCTCTCTCTCTCTCTCTCTCTCTCTCTCTCTCTCTCTCTCTCTCTCTCTCTCTCTCTCTCTCTCTCTCTCTCTCTCTCTCTCTCTCTCTCTTTCTCTCTCTGCCTCTCCTTCTCTCAGGGGCTTTTGACAGTGGATGATAAATAATGGAAGTCATATGTAGCCTAGGGCTACACAGAACACAGCATCTGTGAAATCAAGACTCCCAGATCAAAAGATTAAAATGTGGAAAACACACCAACATTAATGACTGTGTGTGCATCAGTGTGTGCATGCGTCTTTTTCACATGCTATTATTTATTACAATCAACCTGTGAATGTTTTGACTATATTGTTAATTAGCCTATAAATTAATTCATCCACTGGGATTGTGAAATGTGATTGGCTACATCAATCTTATGCTTCAACAGACAGTTCCATTATGATCTTTGGATGCCATGAAAAACCTTTCTTTCTTTCAGTGGTTTTTGAACTCCATGCTTAGTGCAAAGCCAGTCCAGATTTTTTTCCTGACCCTTGTGGCCATTCCATGTACTGCAACATCAATCTTTATCAACACTATTTGTAGGTTACAAATGATTAACATCTGTCTTTTTAAAGAATATTCAAAAAAATAATTGGAAACAATACTGCAATAATAAGAAAAAATTATTATCTGGTATCTGTCAGAAGCTAGTAAGCAGCAATAAACCACATGAGACAGGATTAGCTAACTTCATCCGTCTTGTTTAAGCCTACTCTTCAATTCCACTCTCACAAACATAGTATCACAATATAATTCACTTACGAACACATTATCATTCCTATCCATTGTGTTATAATACTACTAATTGGAGAGGAGGACATTGGAAAGAGCTGGAAAGTGCTTGAATCACACAGGTTAGTATAACATTTTAAGCAACAAAGTATACTTTTCAGTTTCTGACTTCAGTATCTGCTAAGTGAACAGTATCAAATTTTGTTGATTAAACTTGGGTAAACAATTACTCTTATTTCTTTTAGAATGATGATAATAATTTCATAAAAATAAAAAAGCACCTAAAAAGTATTTTAAGTATTTAACTTTTTTTTGTTTTGTTTTTAATGTTAGTTCACCCTCAAGAGACAATTAGCCTATAAATTCTAGAAGAGGACATCTATTTAAAACTCTCTCTTTTCACCCTAAATCTTATTCATAGCAGATTTCTGTATTTAAGTTTATAAACTTAAAAAGTGTGAGGATAAGATCACAGCTTTGTTCAAAGAGAAAGAGAAAGAAATCCTCAAACAGGTGTTCTAACTCGAAGGCACTCAGTGAGACATACTGCCACTCAGAGGACATGGGTAAACCTGGGCTTTGTTCATTTATTGATCGCAGGGACGTTGCTAGAATGTTCACAAAAGTCAGTTGAATGTTGTCTTTTAAAGGTTGTTATTGATCGACCGTTGAACACCTCTAGATTTATTATCCACATTATACGATAGGACATATGTTTACATTGTTTGACAGGTTGCGGAGTGTATTTGTATGTGAATGCTGATGGGTGAATACGCAGAAGTTAACCTCCATTTTTTTAATCTTCATGTTTTCACTTGTAAGCAGAATATGAATCACATTTTTCCTGAAGTGACACTGTGTTTTGTGTTTTGTGTGTGCGCTCTGACATTTCAAACAGAGCTGAGGAGTGTGTGGTGACGTGGGAGGCTGTGTCACTTCTTTTTTTTTTTCCTCACCCACACCATCATCTCTACACAGTCGAACCATGTCTGGATAACCATTGTGGAATCCCTGTTGCATAGCAACACATCTCCAACACATTCCAGACAAGTGTTACTTCTGTTTTGCAGCTGCCATATTCAAGTCTCTCCTCGGTATCACTCGTTCTTTCACTGTAGACATATGAAATGCTGAGCACTTTAACAAGAAAACAGTTAGATCTTGGTTCACCACAAATGTCATTATGTCAATCATATATCATGAATGGCCTAAGGCACATTGATTGCACTTGCAAGTATGCTAAGTGACCTTGTTGTGAATAACTGCTATTTATCTCATTCTTCCTAATATATCAAGATAGGCATGTGTTCTCATAGGGAGACTGTCAATCAGTTTGAGAGAGCCAGAGAGTGCTCATCAGATATAGTCATCATGCAGAAAGGTGAAATATCTATCTATCTATCTATCTATCTATCTATCTATCTATCTATCTATCTATCTATCTATCTATCTATCTATCTATCTATCTATCTATCTATCTATCTATCTATCTATCTATCTATCTATCTATCTATCTATCTATCTATCTATCTATCTATCTATCTATCTCTATTAAGCATGTGTTTTTAATTTCTCACTGTTGGTGGTTTGAAAGTGGTCATATCATAATTGTATTATTGTTTTGTCCCCCAGTAGTGTCAGTGTTATTTTTGTATCATTGCGATAGTATTTGTTTTTATTAAATTTTTGAAGGAGTTTTTAATTTACTGTTAAGCTTTAGTCATTTTGATGTGTTTTTGTCATTTGTTTTTCTCAGAAACTTTGGTACACACATATATATATATATATATATATATATATATATATATATATATATATATATATATATATATATATATATATCTTTATAGTTTTTAAATTGTAATTACAGTTCACAATATTATTATACCGTATTTTGCATAAATAAATGCAGCCTTGTTGAGCAGAAGAGACTTTAAAGAAACCAAACATTAAAAAATCTTACCAACCCCAAGCTTTTGAATGGTAGTGTACCGGTACATCAAGTACTTTTATCTTAAAGAAAATTTGATTTCTAATGATATGGCAACTTTAATTTTAAGGTATGTTCTAAAACATTTTTTTTTGTAAAAAAAAAAATAGAAATATTTTAAATCATATAATAAAATGTGTTGTGTCACGTTGCTTTCAATTTTGCTCAAAAGCACTTGAAAGATTGTATTCACTTTGTATTCAACAATCTTTCATTATCTGCACCAACCTTGACATTTTTGTAACTAATGAGTCCATTGATTTTCAGTTAGTTCTGTCAAGATGAAACAGTGGAGCAGGTAGCAGACAAGGTTTGTGCTTGTGTGAATAGTAGCCTTCTGGATATGGACACACACATCACATCCAGGTTACTGACCTGGGCTGTGTTTCCCAAAAGCATTGTGAGTCCAAGTTGATCGTGTGACCATTGCCACCCACGTTCTTTACAATCGACTTAGCTCACGATGCTTTTGGGAAACAAGCCCTGGAATGCAGGAATATTTCATTCTATTCTTGTATTTCCACTTGAGGCTCTCTCCACATTATTACAATAGTGATTATATTTTATTTTGCTTTGGATGTGCAGTAGTAAAGTGTTTGTGTTTGGCCCTTTGGGTTGAATATTCACGTAGGTTTAATATTTAGAGGAGTGTAAAGTCGTGATTTGCACACCTGCACATACCCCTCCCCAAAAAAGGATTCTAATAGCCTGAAGGAGATGGACAAAGAAGTGCTCATTGCTGAAAGCATGAGTTTGGGTTACAGGAACATTCCTGTTCAATTGGCTAGAGAACCATTTATTTTATCTTGGGGCACAGCCTCTTTACAGCATGCTAAAAGTGCAGCACAAACAAATTGGGCAAATTAAAATGGCAAGCCATGCAGAAAATCCCTTAATGTCCGGAGGTGAGCCCACCACTGCCTGAATGTAGGAGTGCTACAAGAAGCTGTGGAGATCGGGAGAGAAAAATAGTTTAATTTGACCTATAGGATAAGCCTATATTCTTTAAATAATATTTACCAACGGGTGTAAGGGTATGTTGATTCACACGGTTCATCAGAAATTATTAACAAAATTAATGAATCAATATTTGATTTATCATTTATTAAATGAGACGTGTGAATGTTTTAAACTTAATTTTCTATGTCAAAGACACTATTTACATGTTTAACATGTATATTTAAGTTACGCAATAGTTCATTACTATACATGGCCAAAAAACCATGATGGCACGGTAGACGTCGGGTGAAGGTTTATTTTCCAGGATAAAGTGCACTAGTGCCATCTTGTGGACAGCATGATAATATCGGAATAGCCTACCATTTTTAATAAATTGTGGTTTAGGACATGAAAAAACGTTTCATTGTAATACATCAACTTTCCTTCTTATGTATATAAAAAAGCGTTTCATTGTCATTTACATTCATTTAAGGATTTCTAAGCGGAACCCATGTGAAGCCCAAAGTTTTTTTTCCCGGAACATTTTTCGTGTGACATCAAAATGGCTGCGCACTAGAGAGTGGTCAAATTATTTTAATAAAAAAAACTAAGGGTCATGGTATCTCCGTTTGTACAGAAACAACTATAATTTGTCGCCAGAATTGAAGGTATTTTTTATTTATTGTTTGCAGTTGTCAAATGGCTTTGTTCACTGATGTCTGCCGTAGTGTTCGCACGCTATTAGGTCAAAGTCAGAGATCTGCGGCTGCAGCGGCGTGGATTCATTGTCAGTTGTGTAAGTAACTGTTAATAACTAGACCTTTCTAATAACTCATTATTTACTCTCTGCTGGATGTGTGTGTTAAATTATACTGGCGACAAAATGACAGTAGATTTGGAGATACGCAATCTGCTCTGTAAAAAGGAGTATCGTTTGTGTTTGGAATCAAAAGCAAATAAAATAATAACAACAAAAGGAAACAGCTGGAAATTCGATATGATAAACCCCATAATTGATTGACTTAGAATTAGAAGAATGGCTGTAGATTTGTTTAAAAAATGATGTTCATGATGTGTCTCTTTCCACCAGCTCGGAATTACAGTCAGGTGGCACCTGATCCAGAACCAGTGGTTAGTGATAATGAAGCCATCAATAAAGCATTTGTTAACCGAAACCCAAGAAACCTGGAACAGATGGCCCTTGCCGTAAAGGATCGAGGCTGGGGTACAGTGTGGCCCTCTAGACAGTATTATCACAGGTTTGGAAGCATCCCAATTGTTTAAAATGGTTTAAAGGAATAGATGTAAATAGTAAAACATGCTGAGCACATCCCTACTAACAGCATCCTAATAGCAACTTCCAGATACAAACATAGTTATACGCTGTACATGTATATTAAGCATATGCCTTACCTTCCTCAGGTTGGTGTTCAGGCGCACGCAGCATCACATCACAGCCGAGGTGTTCTCAAGTGACTCAATAGTTCCTGTGTTGTCTTGCTCCACAAAGGAGTGGGCATTGAAGCGCGAGCTGGGCTCCACACGGTCTGTAGCGGCTTGCCGTGCCATAGGTGATGTGCTTGCTCAGCGGTGTCGTGAAGCAGGCATCACACGTATTGTTTATCGAGAGATACCGTGGAAGTTTCGCTCGGAGGCGGTGAGTCATTGAATGGCTTTCTGCTTTGAGTCTTCAAATGTTATACATTGATAGCCAGTTATTGATGTAAGTGCATAGACTAATTTATGCCTTTTCTCCCACTTCAGAATCAGACGTTCTGGACGGCCATGAAAGAGGGTGGTGTCACGCTTGGTGAACCAAGGCGAAAATTCATTTTTTAATTATTATTACTATCCTGAATAGTGGCTTCCTCTGTGAATATAAATATCCTCAACGTTCAAACTGTGTGTTCATTGAGTCGATTACAGTTTCATGCAGCAATTAGAATATTTGGATAGTCGAGTAATTGGTTTTTAGTTTGATTTTAAATGTGAAATGGTGAAAAATGAATCAGTTGCATCTTAATTTTTCAAATGTATTTTAGGCAAGAAAAAGAATGTCATACTGTTTAGTAGTGTCATTTGTACACTACCATAAAAAATTTGGGGTCAGTAACATTTTCTTTTTATATATATATATATATATATATATATAAATAAAGCATTACTTTTATTTGACAAGAATGTATTAAACTGATCTAAAATGATAGGAAAGCCATTTATAATGGGGCAAAAATTTATTTAAAATGTTATTTACACTTTATATTCATAATAAGATCCTGGGGAAAACGTAGCACGATTTCCACAAAAATATTAAGCAGCGTATTAAAAAAATTTTTCAACTGCCAATAAGAAAATGTTTCTTAAGCAGCAAATCAGCATATTAGAATGATTTCTGAAGGATCACGTCACACTGACGAGTAATGATGCTGAAAACTCAACTTTGCCATCACAGAAATAAACTATATTTAGAAAAATAGAAAACTGTTCTTTTAAATTGTAAAAATATCTCCACAACATTGCTGCTTTTACTGTATTTTTGCTCAAATAAATGCAGTCTTAGTGAGCAAAAGACTTCTTTCAAAAAACTTATTACATATTTCAAAATAATGCTTAGTTCTCTAAATCTGCACTCCATTTGACCAACACAAACAGTTAATTATCTGTTATATTTTAAGGAGGCTGTGCAGATGTACTTGCTAGATTTTAATCAATCCACCACCTCAGATTTTTGCCTGGATACAATGTGTCCAAATAACAAAAAATAAATAAATAGCTGTTTACAGCTTAGTTCTATTGTTTCTGTCGCATTCTCTTTTGAATGGCTGATCTTTCACTCAGTGCATGTGTCATTTGGATTCAAACTAAAAACATGAACTATTACGTGATTTAAGTATAACGAGTTGTTCCTACGTTATTAATGGAAGGCGGTACAGCAATCACGTTTTCAAGATGTGTTCTGTGCGCAAATATCTGAAGCGCACGCCCAGAAAGCTATACCTCCCAGACAGCACGCAACTAGCCTATTAAATTGAGTTCTTTCATGTCTTGCGCTTGAACTGACAAATTCACACATAATTATGTTCTAGTACTTGAATCATAATAAAGATATTTCCAGTAATATCTGTAAAACACTAGATTATATATACTTTTACAGTAGCATTATGAAGAATAGAAATATCTTAAAACCTGAAACACAAATTGATGCAAAAACAATAACATTGTCAATTAGATATTTCTCAAGCTCCCATTATAAATTCAATTTAATTTTTAAAGCACAGACAAGAGACAACCTTGTATATCAAATCAAAAAGATACATGTTAAGGTCATAAATAGAAAAAAAAGCAACAGCAACGTTGACTTGATATTTAAGCCATCTGATACCAACAATGGAACCGAGTTGCATTAGAATAAAATTTATCACTGCTTTTGATGTTGATAAGGCATGGCACATTATACAATAGATGAGGAAAATCAGCACTTTGAAGGCTGTGGGTTATCATGTATCACTAACACACGATTTAAGACATTCTTGTGGAAAATAACTGCAAAACCAGTGGTGTCTCAATACTAAGAACATTCCACAACATAACTTTGGTTTCACAACATTGGCACTTTGTGCAATGACTATACACATTTCAACAAATGTTTTACAGCAGATTGTATATATACAGGACTCGTGCTTCACAAAGACAAGCTTACATACAGAACAAACAGCATGCATACAGTCATGAGACATCATGCAAAGACACAAATCAACCACCCCTATAGCTAAAGACACATGTATTATGTAGGAGTTAGTTGTGTTCGTTTTAACTGCATGAATATTAAAACCAACAAAAGTAGTTATTTTGGTCCACCTCTATAAACTAAAGGGACTGAACCATCATGCAGAATGAATTAAACAGATCAAATAAGTATGGCACATAAAAATTAAGGAAAATACTCAGGTCTTTTCTCAGGTTTTGTTTCCTGCATACTATACAGGTTAAAAAACAAATATTAGACAAGATCGGTTTAATTGAAAAAGATGTGGAAAATAGCTCCAAAGTTCAAAAATATGCCTGACACCTTAAAGGACAAGTTCGGTATTTTACACTTAAAGCCCTGTTTCAAGATCGTTTCTGATGAAATAGAACGGTTAAGATTAAAATTTGGACACATGCTGCTGTCCCGAGAAATCCTTTGATATGCTGATATGCTCACACAAAAATCGCTGAAAAAGATGCTTTCCAACAGGTTTTATCGTAGTTTTTGAATAACTCCATTTGACTTGGACAAAAACTACGATAAAACCTGTTGGAAAGCATCTTTTTCAGCGATTTTTGTATGAGCATATCAGTTAACACCCCAGACCACTCGGTGAGTTTAACGTCTTTGTAAACTAAAGTTTAATGCGTTTTAGGAAGGATTGTTTCTGTGCATCTATGCAACCATTGTGGAGGTGGGGGGGTGCAACCACAGAAACCGAAATTTCTCGGGACAGCAGCATGTGTCCAAATTTTAATCTTAACCGTTCTATTTGATCAGAAACGATCTTGAAACAGGGCTTCAAGTGTAAACTACCGAACTTGTCCTTTAATGATATAACAACATCTGTCTAGTAACTCAAAAGCTTGGGGTCAGAATGATTTATTTTTTTCTGAATGAAGTCTCACCAAGCCTGAAATTAAATATAGCCTGAAAAGCACAATAAAAACAGTGATATTGAGCAATATTATTATGATCTAAAGTAATGTTTAAAATAATATTTTTTATATACGTTTTAAAATGTAATGTATTCCTGTGATGGTAAAGCTGATTTTTCAGCCTCATTACTTCAGTGTCACATGATCCTTCAGAAATCATTCTAATATGCTGATTTGCTGCTCAAGAAACATTTCTTTTTATTATCAATGTTTAAAACAAGTTGTGTCGCTTTTATGGAAACCATGGAATACATTTTTATATTAAGTAAATATATATATATATATATATATATAAATAGTTTGTAACATTAAATAATTTGAAAGTGACACTAAAGACATAATGTGTCCTTGCTAAATAAAAAGTACTAATTTATTTATTTTTTTAACGAAAAAAATCTTACTGACCCAAAACTTTTGAACAGTGGTTTACACGGAATACTAAAACATTTAATCCTTGATTGCCTTCTCAACACTTTTTCAACTACTGATCTCCACAGAGGCAATATAAAGCTTCACATTCATTGAGAGGAAACAGCTATAAAGTGGATTATTGCATAGGACTCCTAAAATGAGTGAGATCACACTCTTATTAAGAACAACATGAAACAATGCTATAAGAGGATTGTTCGTGTTTCTGTATGAGAAATAACAGCAAAAAAAAAAAAAAAAAAAGTCCACTCAATCTATAATATCCTCCTGGGACCCAAGAATAGACTTTTGTCCACTGTAGTGGACATTATATTTTAGTGAATTTCTCTGACATCATACATGTCACATGACACAACCTGGGTGTCCTGTAAAGAGCGCATTCAGGACTTTTCAGAGATACCAAATGTTTGGAGGTTTCACCATGAAAACAACTTCTCCTTGGTCTTTAAAAATGTCTGACATTAATTTAGTGATCAAATGTAGCATTCTTATGGAAATATGATAATATAGTGTAATTATAATATAAATTGGACTACTTTTCAAATTGTATTTCATAAAACAACATCTCAGGAAAATGTTAAGGGGTTTAAAAAAAAAAAAAACTTTCTGTTACAGAACAGGGCATTGATTTCAAACGTGTCCACTGTAGAGGACATCAGGACTAAAATCATGTTTATCAGGCATTCTGGGAGACACAACAAGTGAATATGGAAATAAATTATACATCAATATTCCTATGAAATGTTAGATATTATTATTAAAATGTTGCCAATTATTACTCCAATTATTACCCTTTATTCTTTCATTAAATGTTGCTCCCAGAACACATTAATGTGCAAATTAGATACAGTGTATAGATACATTGCATTGAATGGGAATATTAACTCATGGCCATTTTACCCACATATTGCAAAAAGTAAAATGGTGTATCAATTCATTCCATTATTTCTTTCTTAACATAGTTGAGAATAATCTTTATACAAATTTTGGTTGAAAAAATCCTGAAACCCCAAAATGTATTGGTGATTGAAAAAAAAATCCCATTGTTTTTGCCTATACATATAATTTCATGTCATTTTATTTTTTAAACAACTTAGTCCTGGCGTCCACTACAGAGGACATAGCATAACGTATGAATAAAATATTATTTTATATATATGTTTTTTTACCATTTGTTTATTGTGCTCTAAACAGTATGATGACATGGAAAAAAACTAAATTCAAAAAACTTTTTTTTTCTGGGTCTCAGGAGGATATAATATTAAAATCTGTGAAGTAAACTGAATTTTATGGCTCAGTATGAAGGTGCAAAGGATACAGAAATATCAAAAGGCACAACGTGACAATTATAATGATAATGCTCTGAGGAAAACGGTTCCTTTATCAATACTCCCTTGACAATGGATGTGCTGACAGAAACCAGCTGTTGTAGATATTTTTTTAACAATCCAACTGAAACTGACCACAGATTAAGAGTTTTGGGCTAGATGGGCAGGTACGGGAAAATTGGTAAGATATCTATTGATATGTAACCATGTGCTTTTGTGTGTTGCCTCCAAGCGAAGTTATCTAAAAATACAGCAACTATATGAACAGATTCCCTCTGAGTCTTTAAAGAACTTGGAATGATACAATCAGAAGGCTAAAACTTGTGTGCAAGAGTGTCCTTTATATTAGCATCACTAATTTGTGATCCCTTTCCTCACCTTATCACTTTTTAATTCCTGCCTCTCCATATTTCTTAACACGACCCCTTTTTTAAGCGCTTCAGAGACCGGCTTCATCCTGGTTTGTGTTCTGTGACTGTCTGCAGCTTGGTCCAGGGGAAACATCAACATGTGTTTTCTGATGAGTCAAGCCCCTTCTTCCGTGACTCCGCCTTCGTTGCGCAGGAGAATATCTCTGACAAACAGGAATTCTTCAGTTAATGATTGCTTGCATGTGATTGGACTTGTTTTTTTCACATATCGATATCAATAAATGTTGCATTCCAGACTTTTTTCCTCTCACCTCTTTATCAATCCTGTCTCTGTCTTCATCGTCAAGTTGAATAGACTGCATAAGAGAAAACAAATCCATCCTGCCACTTCTGTTGGGGCTGGATGACACCTAGGAAATAAAGTTTTGCAGACATTTAAAAACCATTGTTTTTAATAGTATATAAATCCATATAGACATTTAAAAGCCTTTAAAAATGGTCAAGTGTAATAAATGTAACTTTGTCTGCCTCTGTCTGGTCTAACCTTATCACTTTCTTGAATGGTAATAAGTGGGTTGGATGTGGCTGTCTCTGCCCCATGTGTATCAGGAATACTCTCGTCAAACTGCTCAAAGACCTGAGAATGGCACAGCCATAGAAATAAACATACCTCCGATTTAAAAACTAAAGAGATACTGAAAAGCATCAAGTCACTGTTATAAGACACATCCCCTTACATCTGTCTCCTCTTCACTGCTTTCCTCTTCTTCTGGGCTCTCTGATTCTTCCTCTTTCTGTTCATGTTCACTCCCTGTGGCTGTTTCGTTGTGGACAGACGGCTGACGGACATCTGGCTTGGACTTCCTCCTCCAGAGGGCACTGTGGCGCTGTTTACTGAAAGGCACATTGCAATGTTTGGAATTAAATATAGAACTGCTAACTATTTAAAAAAAAATAAAAAATAAAGACTGCAGTTGACATTACTGCCATTTCATTCTACACATTGGAAATGGAAGGTCACATTAAATACACAGCACAAAATTGTCACATAGTATACTGCAAAAAAGCCTCTACCAATTTGTGTCTATGAATGGGTATATTTAACACTTATAGGAAATCTATTGAGTAAATATATAGTCATTGGTTTATGCTGCAGTTGATCAAAAATGATCCAGTATCCAGAGAGTAGTGTAATATAGACTACCATTCAAAAGTTTGGGGTCAGTAAGAGTTTTTTTTTTTTTTAAGAAATAATTATGCAGGAACGCATTAAACTGAATAAATAAAAATGGACACTAAAGACATGTTACAAAAGATTCCCATTTCAAATAAAAAGCTGTTCTTTTGAACTTTCTATTTATCCATCACTGGTTCCACAAAATTATTAAGCAGCATAACCGTTTTCAACATTGATGATAACAAGATTTCTGAAGGATCATGTGACACTGAAGAGTGAAGTATTAGCGGCTAAAAATTCAGCTTTGTAGTCACAGGCATAAATTATATTTTAAAATATATTTAAATAGAAAACTTATTTTAAATTGTAATATTATTTCACAATATTACTGTTTTTACTGTATTTTTGATCAAATAAATGCAGCCTTGGTGAGTGAGAGACTTCTTTCAAGACCTCAAACTTACTGTTTGAGATGAGTGTGTATCTGCACTATTCAGTTCCCTCATTTACACACACGGTTGAACAACAACAAACCAGACTTGACTTGTCTGTACTTGAACATCCATTGAAAAAACTACACAAGTGGGAAAGTGTCTGTATGTCTGTGTGAATGCTTGTTTGCATGAATGCACCAATCTCAGTAAAGCACCATAATGAAAGCGTAAGTCACCTGGCACTGAGGATGCCACTATACGTATGCAGCTGTTTGAGGAAACCTTCGTTGGGCTGCACTATAGGCCGTCTTTCTCTCACGTGGATGAGGGCTTGGTCTAAAGTCCAGCCCTGCTGCTTCATCAGGAAAGCAATTACTGTGGAGGCAGAGCGAGAGACGCCCATCTTACAATGCACCAGTACAGCCTGTCCACTTTTCCTGTATCATCGGTACAAACAATGACATAAAACGTTAGCATGAGAGAGATAGCACACAAAGACATACTCTAATAATTTTCATAGGGGGTTAGTTAGTATACCATACTGCACGTGTGTCTAAATATAAACAAATGAATTTTAAGAGAAGGATCAGTGTTGGAGGTCTGCAAACAGAAACAACTAAATGCATGCCAACCATAAACCAAAATAAAGAAAAGGAGTGTGTGCGTTGAGCACCTTGCTTCACTGATGAACGTGTATGTGTTATTCCAGTGTGAGAGTAGGTCGGTCGCCTCCACATCGTAAACTCTAATATTCATATAGGTGAAGCATTCTGGGAAAAAGTTGTCAATCTCCATGGTAACATTCAGGATGTAGCCCACACTACCAAAAAGAAAAAAGGTCTTTTTATTCATCTGCTGCAGAAAATCTTAATTTAATAAGAATAACTAAATTATTTTAAATTAGTACAAATATAATAATTCAATCATTATTTGATTAAAATATTAATTTAAATCACTAAATTATTTAAAATAAATTTGAATCATATTTAAATTTAATCTGTATACTTGTTCTTATGTAGTTCTTCAGAGTTGGCAGCATTCCATTCTGAACCCTTTTGGGGTGGAAAAGACAAATAAATGACAGTGTATGTTTGAAACAACAGTATATTGGATTAGACAGAAGACAAATGTCATTACTCACCAAGTAAAGGTAGTCCAATATTCTGGAAGGTTTGTCCATCTGCGCCATCGTGACCATCATCTCGTTGTCAATATACTCCTTGTAGTCCTTCATGTCTATGCCTATTCTGGACTCCAGGGCTGTTCGCACCTACAAACACACAGAAAAAGTGTCTGTAGCTCACCGGCTAGCGTTGGGCGCTAGCAACCCTAAAGTCATGGGTTTGGGTTATACATTATATTAAAAGGCAAGTCACATGACATACAATGCTTACAAACATCAAATCAAGCTGCTCACTAAAAGATGCCTGAATGTTATGTTCATACCACGAAGATTCTCTGGATAAGACAGCAAGCCCAGGCACATTAACCTTGAGTAAGTTCTAGAATAAGAGAATCTTTAAAAGGTGTGTCTTCAGGCTTACACTACCGTTCAAATGTTTGTGGTCGGTGAGATACTTTTTGCTTCTTTGAAAGAAATTAATACTTTTATTCAGCATTGACACATTCAATTTACTTAAACTGTCTATGCATTCAAAGAATCCTGAAAAATAAAAATGTACAAAAATCGAGAAGCATGACTGTTTCTAGCCTTGATAATAAGAAATGTTCCTTTAGCACAAAAAAAGAGGAGAGGATGATGATTTCTGAAGAATCATGTGACTGAAGACTGGAGTAATGGCTGCTAAAAAAAAAAATCCAGCTTTTGGCATCACAGGAATACATATATATAAAATTTTAATTGTAATAATATTTCACAATATTACTGTTTTTAGACTGCACTTACGGTCAAATAAATGCAGCCTCGGTGAGCATAAGAGACTTCTTTGAAAAACAATTTTAAAAAATCTTAACGAGTTTTGAACAGTAGTGTACTTTGAATAACCTTAAAGAGGCCATATTAAACAAAGTCCAAGCAAACAAAAACAAAGTATTGTTCAGAAATCGTCATGTTTGTGACCTATTTAACCAAGGTCTCTGGTCATTTCAGTACAGCGCTTTCATACTGTGTGGCACATTTCAATGTAATATGGCTTACAATGTCAAAATGAAATCCTGGCTTTGGAAAGCGGCTGTTGAAGGATGGACAGCAAACCCACAACAATGTTAAGTAAACATTGTTGCATACATATGCAAAGAGGTTAAGCAATAGGTTAACCAATCATAACAAATGTCATTTTCATACATAAGATCTTAAAGTAAACATAAAATTGCGTTTACAACCCATTTGAATTGTATTATATGTAGTCCTGTCAATCGATTAAAAAAATAACTAGATTAATCACACGTTTTTAATATATTTTAGAATGTAATAATTTCACAGTTAATCTCCAAATTAATGTAGAAATTAATGTAAAATATACCGGTAGACAGTATATTTTAAATACTTTAATGGCATCTTTTTATGAATGAAGGCCATTATCACTGATACTAATACAGCTACTGATGTCTCGAGGAAAAAAACTTTGTTCTTTGATTAACTTTACTGACAGACAGCATTAGTGGCTGCTGTCACTTTAAGACCTGCCGCTGCTGCACATGACGAGAATCTCACACGTGTCTCATTCCCTCACAACTCTTTACGTTCATTTAAGACTTTTTAACCCATTTAAGACTGCTCTTATGAGTATACTCGACAAAGCGGACATTTTGGCATAAATGTGTGTTATTGTTCGTTCAAGCGCGAAAGAGAACTTGATTCTCTTTTGTCTTATCGCTTGAATGGTTTAAAGGCATCTGCATGAATAAGAGCGTGATCATATAATGTAACGCTAGCCAAAGGATGGCAGAAAATACAGACGATGCGTTAATTGCGTAATTTGCGTTAAATATTTTAACGCGTTAAACTGGACAAAAATTAAATCGCATGCGGTAACGTTGACAGCACTAGTTATATGACATAATACAATTGAAATATAGGGAGGAACTGATTGGATCATAAAAATACGCTCTCTTTCATTTTACCTGCTTTGAGGTAATGTTTTCCAAGTCCTCAGTTCTCATGATTTCTCGAAGTTGGGCTTTGATCTCCCTCTCCACTGACTCCCGATTGGATGCTGAATTTCCTACGGTGTACTTCCTGACTGACTCCAGGCCAGTCATAGCCCCCCATTCATTAAGGCAGTGCTGGTCAGATTCCACATGTTCTCTGTAATGTTGTGCCCACTCCAGCCCGCAGCCAGGTATGACAGCTCCACGCACTGCCCGCTCACAGCAGCCATGCAGTGCCTGTAACACTGACCTTGTGCGAAGTGAGAGTATCACAGGACAGAGAGTTGTGAACAAGCAATCGACAAACCACAAACACACTTTAAACGTTCAAAGAGCAAATTTGGAGACTTTATACAGATGTCTAGCAGGGTGCATGTTGACTGACTAATAGCCAGAAGAAAAACAGTTAAAGCAATAGAATATATAGCATTATAATTGAAAACAAAGAATTAAGTGTGTGTAGGCTGCAAGACCAAAGTTGCATTGCATATTGTTGTTAGTTGAGGAAATTGGTAGTTTCCTCAGCATTTCCTGCTTTAAAACTTACCACATCGTCTGAATGGACACAGGCTTAAAGATTCGTGTCACTTCTGCAGATGTCACACTGAAACCTCTGTAACAGAACGAGTGAAGCAAACTGTCAGAAAAGCAGAACCCTGAGGCTCAGGCTTTAACTGTGTATAAAGTTCTGCTGAACTGTGCAGATAAAATATAAAGTGGATTTTTTTCAGTCAAACTGAACTTTTGATTGAAAATGTTGTTTACATTTTATATCCATTTACATTGCTAATAACAGCCATGCTTCAATGTCTGAAATGTTGACTGTTTCCTAATTTTCTAAAGAAACAAAACCTTTGTCCTTGAGCTCACTTCACCTTTCAAACCGCATGAAACGTGAAACTTGAGATTGATGATAAGATAATGATTTCAAGATTACTCTTTCACAGTACTATAATTAAACTTTTAAGATCCCCATACAGTAAATGTCATGTTATACCTTTATTATCATATGTTTGCCCTTACCCATCTCCATCTAGGTAAACCTGTGTGTCACTCCATATTGGCAAGACAAGACCAACAGTGCACTCCTCACTAAGGAAGAGTAAAAAAAACAATGAGTGAGAGACATATCTTAACAGCCTTGCTGAAATATAATGTAATTTTTTTTAAACATCTGCTAAAACAGTTTATATTTAATGGGATAGTTCTGGCAAAATGAAAACTGTCATTATTTACTCATCCTGATGTTGATGCAAAACAATTTTACTTTCTTTCTTTTGTGAGACATAAAATGTGTCCATACATTTGATTTCCATTTGTCCATACAGGTTTGGAATGTCATGAGGGTGAGTAAATGATGACAGAATTAAAAATTTTGGGGTGAACTATCCCATTAAAACGGCAACTAAACATTTGTAAAAAATCTGCACATTCCCATTCCAAAAACATAGAACAGCCTGCTTGAATCATTTGTGTTTGTGAACTGAGGTGATAAAAAAATGCAACAATATTTAGGCTGTAAATCTGAGATATACAAATATTCAACACATCACACATACAATAGAATATTTATGGATTTATCTCTAATGAAATAAAAGCTTCTTATGATGACTTGATAAGATGGTTTATAAACCTACCTGTTTGAGCCTGGAAAGTCCATGCCAAGTAGTAGGCTCTCCTGTTTTTTGTCAAGTGTGCCTACTATAAGCAAATATCTCAATCTGACTGGGCTCGACGACTCCAAACGCACAGCCTGAGGCAGGGAAAAAGAGAACTTCAGGGTTAATGTATTTAAATGAGACACAGAAGTCTGAAATTACACAGCAATTAAAATTCGATTTTTTCCATCATTACAATTCAAGCACAGCACTCATACATGGCTATATAAGACATGCTGTTTTTTAATAAACAGATTAACTTAGTAAATTGTATTGTGTGTAAGCGTGTTAAAATAAAAAGCGGTTTATTGTCATTTCTGCATAACAGAAGATGGAACAAACAGAAGTGTCTCCAGAAACCACATTGCAGAACATGTGACGTTACACAAGCTAAACATAGTGTCTAATGGACACGGACAGTAAGAACAAGCACTTCCATAAATTAGTCTGAAACAGACAATAAATAGAGTAAATGCATAAGGTGGCAATATATCTACATGCTTTGATCAACAAATTTCCATTATTTTCCAATCATTTGTGAAATCATTAAAAATCATTTTAAAAAGGTTGTGCTTACAAAGATCAATTTCTAGTTGATGATATAAAGAAATTCATATTCTATATAGATTTTTTTATTAAATTCATTTTTTTCTATTAATTCCAATCACTTTTATAGGCCTCAAAATGACAATTTTGAAAACTTTTCCATGACCATAGAGACCCCAAGCATAGAAAGGCAGTGTAGTAAAACAAGTGTGGTTTGGGGGATCCTAACCAGTTTGACTGTGTCCTCTGGTCGTAGTAACGAAATCATTGCATGCAAATGTCTGCGCTGAGTGTCAGAGGCTCGGCCTCCTTGCCTAGGACCAAGTAGAGGGGGTACGGTTTCTTCATGTAATCCCTCCCTCTCTCCCTCTTCCACCAGGAGCACTGCCCCCTTTACCAGGGCGAAACTTTCTCTGGTGTGCGGAAATGAAAGATTAATCAGCAACGCATTTCTAGAGGAAACACTATATACACTAAAATACACATGAATGATTAAAGCTGTATCAGGAACCTTCACCTTTTCTGAAGTCTTCCTCGTCTTGGGATAGGCTCATCCTTGAAAATAAAATTAAGTGGATTACAATAGATTAAACTAGAAGTAAAGGAACATCATAACTCTAAGATTTACCCAGAGAACGGTGATGTTAAAAATGGGTGGTTGGTGAATTGATTACGTAATGCACTTAATTGCAAACAGAGACCAGTAGATTCTGCTTGACTCCTTTGGATCATCTGACACAGTAAGTGCTATTTGCCAAAATGGCTAAATAAAAACTTAAGCCTTTTTTCTCATTCTGAGATGAGCGACTGGGGAAAAAAAGAAAAAAGGATCCTTGGAAACACAATGACAAGGCGTTTTGACAAAAATTGCCAATTGTAATGCAGTAATGCAGATGATAAGACACTGAGGAAGCTCATTCTAAAGATGATTAAGGGAGAAACAGATAGAGTGTGAGAAGACAGAGAGAAGGACACCAAAGAGGCTGTTATCAGTGCTTCTATGGAATGAAAGAGGAGACAAGTAACATTACCTGTTATGTGACTGACGTGTCCAGACAGAGACAAGTAGAAAAAGAAGAGAGGGGGTGGAAAGGAGGAGCAATGAGGTTGTACATTAAAAATCCGGCTAGACTTTACTCTAAATAGTCTGAACATAGGGTGTTATAGAAGAAGATACATAGTATGCACGGGTTATGGGTGAAAAGGGAATCTTATGTTAGATAATAAATACAACGCCTAGCACACAATCAAAAGAAACAGAATGATTAATGGACAGTAATAAAAGTTATCAGGCACTTGGTTCTTGAGCAGAATCCTCACATAATTCTGGGGCTTTATTTGGAACAGTGTGAAATGGATTTTCAGATTCACAGCAAGTTTGGGAAGCGTTTGGAACGCTACCAAGAAGACATTCCTCCTAATATACATAAACTTGTGTGCAGAAAAAGGTGTAGAGTAACTGGACACACATGGAGGGAGTGGGAGTAGGGTTAAAGAACATGTGGAGAACTGCAACTGACAAATTTCTTCTGTAGCATTTTATAAATCCACCGTTTTTAGACGCAATAAAACTCACCGGTGTCGTGCAAATAGATGGCGTTCTGTGCAAGGTCAGCAAAGCCATTCCACAGCCAGGTCTCCTGCTTTAACACCGGCAGACGAGTCAGAGCAGCTCAACAGAATGAAAGTTTACTGGGTTGAGTAGAAAGAAAAAAACAAATGACACAATGTATGATGCACGGTACCAAGTGCGAAGATGATATACTTAATCAAGACTGTTTAAACTGCAACTAGACTGAATTACTATAAAGTCTGGCCGCTACCGATTTTAATAAAACAACTATTGGCTGATTCTGATACCGATATTTATCACTTGCTCTCTTATTTTAACTTTTATATTCACTTATTATTCAACAATATTATTGATCTGACTTCACTGCTGTATGAGAACTGAACTGAGCCAGACGATGACATCATTTTTCTTTTTTTTTGCAGAACTTCTTTATAGATGAAATGAACTAAATTAATAATTCATGATCTTTACAATGGAACTGAATCAACACTGAACTGACTTCAGCTGAACAAGAGCCAAAATGCATTAGTATCACTGTAAAGCTGCTTTGAAACAATCTGTATTGTATAAAGCGCTATATAAATAAAGATGACTTGAGTCATTAAGATTATTATTTTGATCATGCTTTAAATTAGCAAAGTTCAAAAATGCATGCATTAAGGTATAGCCTACTAATTTATTGCTGCATCAAGTCATTTCTATTGAACATAGATTGGATTAATTTAACCTTCAACAGGCCAACATAAATAAATAAATAAATAAATAAATAAATAAAACAGAACAAAGATGCATATAAAATAAACAGTGCTTTTCAGGCAGGTCTAATAGTAGTTTTCAGGTACAGAAATAAAGTAAACAAATGTAAAATATATTCTTCATTGTATTAATTAAATATACATTAATCCTTATTTAAGTTACAAACTTTATTTAGTCAAGAGTAGTGAACAATTTATTGTCTTTTGATGTTTGATTAACATTAAAACAGACAGCAGCGTGGCAGGAATATTAGGCTGCAATCACTTTAAGAGCTACACGGATTCAATATACAGTTACACATGCGTTTCTCAACTATTTACATTAATTTAAGACATAACGGACTGTTTATAAGGATATTTGCCAAGATTGGCATTTTAATATAATTTTGAGTGAATTAGAAGTAGTGAAAGAGACTCAATTCAGTATTTGCATACTGTATAAAAAGAATTGATTTTTTTTTGCGCTTGAACATTTAAATGTGCATGTCTTAAAAACATGTGCAAAGAATAAACTTTCGTGAAGATGCAGCACTGGCCCAATCGGGACAGTGACAGTTCCATCAATTGTCCCGAGCATTGTTCACGCTGGTCACCAGGCAGTCCTTATTGTCAAGCCCTGCTGTTTTTTTGTGCAGATTTTTTTTTTTTTAGCAAGTATTTAATTATTTTACCCAGAGAAAAATGTTGGATTACGCAAAAGACATTATACAACTCAATGCCTTCACGCAGTTAGTTAATAACCATCAGATTGTCATATCAGCCTTTTTCATGCTATAGCTGATATGCCGATGATTTTAAATGGATCAAAAATCGGCCGATAAATATTGATGGTCGATGCATTTTTACTATAAAGCAGACTCAGAATCTGTTAATAAAATCCACATGTGGGTTTCGGCCTCTTATATGCAGTAATTTATAATTCAAGTCAGAGAAAGAAGATTGTTAACCTTCAGAAAGTGTTTATCATCAACCCAAGGGAATTTTATTTGAGATGTGTATTTTCCATTCACTTCATAAAGTGTTTGCGATTTTGCAGTTATGTAACATGGTTACAAATTCAGATGTCAATAAAGCGATCGCTTAGAAGGGGCTAGCTAGTTTGGATTTAAATACTGGTTTGTGGATACTGATATGATGACTTATATTTCTCACAAATTTAGCACTGCAACTTTTGTGCAAATTCTGAAAATGAAATAAGATTTACTTTATTATTATATATCGAATGAAAATTTTGAAACGCAAAATGTGGGACACAGCTAGATAAGTTCATAAATTAAAATTATAATTAAATCAAAACAATTTTAAATTAAGTTTTTACTAAAAATGAATTAAATTTCAATTAAATTGACTGTCAGAATTATGACGTTGTAGTATTCAATTGTTAGACTGTTTCAGATTGTTAATGTGAGAATTGAGTCAGAAGGTCAAGACATCTGAAGTGGAACAGGCCAAAATCTCCACAAAAATTTGATAGACTAAGTTATACAATGTCTTGAAGGTCTTAAAACTAAATAAACAAACAAACTGGGATTTGTGCTTCAAATGTTTTAAAAAGTCGAGGGACTAGTGTACCGTATTTGTGGAATGTGCCATAAATTTCCAACACACTAAATCATGTAACCTATTGAGATAACCGAAATTAAACAGCCAAATGGTTCTGCGGTCTAAGATGGAGACATGCCGTGAATTTTTTTTGCCATATCCTTGACAGACACATCACAAAAAGCGCTCATGTAAACCCACACACTCTGAAATATCACAAGATATCAAAATATCTGCTCGAAGTGTTGAATCTATGAAGCTGTAATTAGCGTAATGTGAGAGTCATATTGATACAGTCTGCAATGCTCAAGCATTAACGTACTGTTTTACGAAAAAAACTTGGAATATATGCATGTTAGATCTTTCAATTTCACCGTTGCCTTGAAAAATTAATCGATAAATTATGCCACATACCTAATATACCGCTGATATGTCTGTCTGTAGACTGATGCTTATGCTTATGTAGCTCCAACACAGCTGTCTTTCAAACAACAAGACTCGAGGCTTGTCATTGCCAGTTCCTTAAGAAAAGCAAAGGAGGGCGGACTAAACATGGGGAGTTCGCTTACCTGCCGCGTTGAAACGCTTCGGAATTACAAGGATTCCCTTATAAATGAATCTTCCTCAATAAATCGTTTTAGATATTTTAATCCCATGACCACAACTTTTACATTGGTCCAAAATACATTTAAAGGGGAAGGCAGAGCACTGTTTCACGAAACCAGGAAGACATATTCTCGGCCGAGAAAAGTAAATGTGCCCTTAAATGGAGAGGCGGATCGGGAGTAATTCGTCTATTAAAGCGACAGTGACATAGTTATTTCTTGATACCTAAAAAAAAAAAAAAAAAAAAAAAAAAAAAAAAACATGAACTGATTCAACCTTCAATTTGGTCGGTAAATAAGAGATACAAATCTATATGTTCAAGTCAAGTTTTGGTTAGCCTACAGAGGGGGTTGCTATCATGGAAGCTTGTTTCCGCCACAGAATGAAAAATAAAAAAGGTAATTGCAACTTTTTATCTCACAATTCTGACTTTTTTTCTCACAATTGCGAGATGTAAAGTCAGAATTTATTGATATAAAGTCGCAATTGCAGGTTATAAAGTCAGAATTGCGTGAAATAAAGTCGCAATTGCGTGTTATAAAGTCAGAATTGCGAGATATAAAGTCAGAATTGATTGATATAAAGTCGCAATTGCGTGTTATAAAGTCAGAATTGCGTGATATAAAGTCGAAATTGCGTGTTGTAAAGTCAGAATTGTGAGATATAAACTCGCAATTGCGAGTTATCAGGCTAATTCTAAGGGGGAAAAAATACTAACTTTTTCCCCCTTAGAATTGGCCTGATAACTCGCAATTGCGAGTTTATATCTCACAATTCTGAGAAAAGATGTCAGAATTTCGAGATAACAACTCGCAATTATGTGTTATAAAGTCAGAATTGCGAGATGTAAACACGCAATTGTGAGAAAAAAAGTCAGAATTGTGAGATAAAAAGTCGCAATTCTATCTTTTTTCTCGCAATTGCGACTTTATTTCTCAGAATTGCGACTTTATATCTCAGAATTGCGACTTTATATCTCGCAATTGCAACTTTATATCTCACAATTCTGACCTAATATCTCGCAATTGTGAGATAAAAAGTCGCAATTCTTTTTTTATTTTATTTTTTATTCAGTGGCAGAAACAAGCTTCCATAGGTTGCACTGTAGTAGCACAAGATCTGCATATTATAAATAAAAATACGTTATTGACTAAAGAAGAAATACAATTTCAGTTAATAATTTCTTCGCCATTCCCACATTAAAATAAATCAATGTTGAAAGCTTGCTTTTTTATTCTCTTTTTTAAAATCTATAGAACATGTCACATCGTACAGCAGTTTTAACATTTATGCAACATTGTGAAATGTTCTAGGAGAAACACTCACACAAGAAGTGTTTACATAATATATTTATTGTTAACACAACACCCTCCTCATCTTTCAATTGACCGTCACAAAGACCCGCCCCATTTAGATACTGTTGCTATGTCCGACAAGCCACCATTCTCAGCTACACCATGTTCTCACACAGTTAAAAATACATTGCAGAGCAGAGAGGACACTGACAAAGCACTGACAGCCAGGATATACCAGGTTACTTTTGATTTGAAACAAAGTCTACATTCAAATTTGGTTATTTTTTAAAGGAGAACTCGATGTACAGGCAGGAGCCATCTTTGAAATACAGTCTCTACCAGTCGATCTACGAACGCCGATCCAAGCCTGCTGTTCGCGCTCACCTTATCACAACTTATAGCTCGTTCACATCTCACCAGCGCACTTGGATCGGCGTTCGTAGATCGACTGGTAGAGACTGTTTTTCAAAGATGGCTCCTGCCTGTATACGCGAAGTTGACTGTATGTATTAAATATCTTCTTATTAAACTGTCTGGACACTGACAAAGTTCTCAATGCTTCGGTTTGAAGGTAGGGACCCTCATTATGCTACCGTGTTAGTGTGGGGCTATTTTGAGCCTTGTTAGTGGTATTAACAAGCGATTTTTATTTGTCATTGATCTATGCCCAATACCAATATACATAATCATGAAAACAAATCTCAGATAACGGTTGACTCTGTAACAATGTGTAATTAGACCAAAGGTTCATTTTGCGCCGGAGTTCTCCTTTAAAGAAATTTAAACAATACCGTTTTGTGGCTCTTTAATGTGTCTTGAGGTCTTGACAGATCGCTGTGTAGAGCCTCAGTTAAAGCTGCTCGTGAATCGATCATCTCTTCCTTCTAGTTAATTTATAGCATCAAATAAACATGAATGAATGAAGGAATGTTATTTTAACCGCGGAAAGACGTCAGGACACTCCGTTTTTCAAATTCAAATCCTCCAACGTTAATCTACTAACTCTCCTGACTGCGTTGTCTGACAAAAATGGCGGATGGCTTATTATGATTGGTCAGATCGCGTATCAATCAAACTCCCTGCTTCATTTTGCTGTCAAAATCTCTAAATTTGTGGAAATGTCATCAATTCTCTATTGCATAGATAGCAGAGTGTATAATACTTTATACAACAATTATTTTCAGACATTTAATTTATTGGCAAAGCATGTTAGTTTGTGCGTTGGTGGTGGAGACAGTTTACATGTGCCAGTAGGTGGCACGTGACTTTATCTGAAATTACCTTAAAGGTGCTCTAAGCGATGTCATGTGTTTTTTAGGCCAAAACATTTTTTGTCACATACAGCAAACATCTCCTCACTATCCGCTGGCTGCCTGTCCCCTGAACACACTGTAAAGAAACGCGATCTCTGTAGACAGCCCATGCTTCACAAACAGCACCAAAAACAAACTGCAGCTACCCGCTCCCCAAAACATAACAAACTGTTCCAGCCAATGACCGACAAGAAGGGTTTGGGGGTGTGGTTTGGGGGGTTAGTGTGCGGATGAGGAGGAGGGAGGGTCTAGCTAGCCTCCGTTTTGTTTGACAATAGTTCGAACGTCAACAAGAAGTGACGTCACCCAGGATCGCTTAGAGAACCTTTAAATTACCAGTCAAATTTATTTTACGGTACGTAATACACTCTAGTGACAAATATTCAAAGTGTATTGTGACAAATCGAACACTTAACAGTTCCAAACTTCTACTTGAAATATGACATCATCCTTTACAAATAGACACACACAACGAATTATGATGAAAGTACTGAATTGACATTTTATAAGGCATTTTCTCTAATTCAAGAAGTCTCGGTTAGCCATAACTCTTTCCGATCATAACAAATGTCGTCTAGCTCCTCCTCGCGAAGAGGAGTGAATGCAATTTGGGCCTAATGGGATCAGAGCCGTTGATATTTTCTCTGACCAAATCGGACCAAATCCACTAATCTATCCTTCCACCCCATTTGACGTCCATAGAGGAGCTGAACGTCATTTGACTCTTCAGTGACACTTATGCCGCGTTCCAGGCAACCTGTAACCCGTGTTTTTCCAACCTTATACCCGTGAAAGTGCACTGGAACGGCAGTCAAACCCGTGACTTCCCACCCGTGAACTCGTACTAACTAGATCGATGTACTCCCAGTTACGAGTTCTGACGTCACATAGCCCGCAAAACCATACAAAACAACAATGGCAGCCCCTACGGATGCAGTGTTTCTGCAGGCGGTACACAGTGAGAATACACTTTAGGACAATATAACGTTGCAGTCAAATTAATAATAATATAATAATAATGATATAATACACACAAGATTATGTATTACAATGTTATGTGTCTGAAACAATAAGTATGTATATACACACAGGATTATGTATTACAATGTAATGTGTCTGAAAAAATAAGTATGTATATTGCGCTCAGGTCGTGAGTCGTGGTTTGAAGTCGTGATTTACGTGCTCAAAAACCTGCCTGGAACGCAGCATTAATTCCACACTACTTCGGGGTTTTTCCATAGGTTTTTTCCCGGTTGACTATAGACCTTTTTTTTTTTTTTACCTTTTTTTTTTATTATTATTCAACAACACAAACAAACAAGGTACATTAACAAATCTCTGAAAATAACCTCAATTGTTCAGCCTTAGGTTGAGCATCGCTAGTACAGAAGGTTGACTAAATAGACCTATAGACCCTTTTCACATTTCCGGGTTTCTCAGAAGCGGAAGCTTCATAAACTTCAATAGAGCTGGTAAGTCCCGCCCCTTCCGCTTACCCCGCTGGACCTCTAGGTTGAAAAATCGTCAATGCAAGTGAATGAGAGAAAATAATTATTTTCTAATCCCGTTTGAATTCTGGAATGAATGTGAGCATATGTTGTCTGTGAATTTTTTATATACATTTTCGTGTAAAGAATGCTACAATTTAGCGGGTAGAATTTTCATACGGTTAGACTTTGTGTGAGAGACTACAACTCTTCGCTGCTTTCGACGCGTTTGATATACGTCACCACCACTAGCACACGGATCCCGCTAAACATGCCTTTGTTTGAATGGTGACATTTGGGTACAAAACACACAGGCATCTCGATCTAATTCCTTAGATTATCGCACCGTGATTTGTAGAGGGAAAATGTGTTATGCGGTGACGTCACGTATGCGACGTGTAGTCTTTCTCGTTATGTCTATTCCACAACTGCTAGCCAAAGAATCATACAATATACTGTCAAACTCGTTACATGAGAAATTATATAAAAAATTCACAGACAACATATGTTCACATTCATGGGACAATTCAAACGGGATCAGAAAATAATTATTTTCTCTCATTCACTTGCATTGACGCTTTTTCAACCCAGAGGTCCACTTGGAGTTTTACGTGAGAGACTACATTAAATATATTTTTTGTGTCCCCATTTGCTCAAAAAGAAAAAGCGTGTTTAAAAACTCAAAAAGATTTTTTTAAAATGTCAAATTTACCGTCACCTTTAAGTGATTTGATGCAAAGGTAATATAATATAATACTAAGTTTAGTGTTATAAATGTACCAACCTCAAGAAAAGAGATCATTGAACAGCAGCACCACCGTCCGTCCAAATGCTTAATACACAGAGTTGCAAGTCCGACTACTAGTGGAAGAAATTTGTGCTGAGCTGTAGATATACGCCAGTCTCTGGAAGGCTGCGTGGGATTCACTGCTTGAGACTAAACTCTGTCAAGAGTTAGTTATCCGAACGATTGCTTTGGAAATAGCAGAATTTTTCTCAAGTAAAGATCTACTTTCAACATTTATATTCATATTTCCATCTGACATCCAATGCAATGATCAAATTGATTACTCTTTTTGTTGAATTGTGCATCATTTATCAGACTCTGGGTGATATCACTGAAGGTGAGAGATCTTTATTTTCTCTTTCTATACGAAACAATAATCGTCACTGGACTGAGTTGTTTTTGTACATAACTTGAGCTTTCTCAAACTGTATTTCGTTCGTTAAGTAGCAATAGGGTTTAAATGAAGAACAGCTGTGATTTTGTTTACCTTTGCATTTGACTTTACGGACTAGCAGGTCTTAGTTGAGAAATGGAGATTTTGTTTTAGTTTTTAGGAACGAATTAATTGGATAGTATAGGCTATGTAGGCTAAATTGTCAAACTAAATAACTTTTAAAAGTTATTTATGTGTCGTCGCCGTTTTCCCACTAGATTATCAAAGCTCAAATGCCATTCAATTGCGCACTAGATTTCTTGGATGATTCAGAATCATAAATGATTCAGACTCCAGAGTGAATGAAATTTTGGTACTTTGTCTAATGTTCTGTTTGAACAAAAATAGACATAAACATACTTTGTTTCATCCATTAAGCGTTTAATGTAGCCAGAAACATATGATTAACATGTTCACTATTTGATGTATGATGTCCATACTGTTTTAAGCAGTTGTAATTATAACCCAGTGACCCAGTAAATGACTGAGTGTGAGCTCACCATCTGTGACAGGGCCCTAATTTGACCTATTAAAGGAAGAACTTTAACTATATGTCACCTATGGGTTGATTGTCCCACTGTGGGGGCAAAAAAATACCAAAACATAGTCTTGCCATGCTATGCATGTGAACTGATTAACCAAAACAAATGGCATACTCATAAATATGTATTGTCATTTTGCATATTTTCGTATTTTATGTGATTAAAAGTGGTTAATGTGAGTAAAGTAGTTTGGCTTTCTGCACAGTTCCAAACCGTTTGTGAAAATGAGAACAACAATTTTGAGGGCTGCTACATAATGTTTCCAGGGTAAAGCAGACTGGGTATTGACAAATGTTGAGTCACAGTCTTGGTATGATACAACTTTTTAGACTGTAGACAGCTGCAGTCAGTTTCCATGAGTATGAATTCTACATTTATATATTTAACAAATGTATTTAAAGTCTGACCATCTGTCCAGGACTCCAGGGTGTTTTCTATATGGCCCAAGACTCTGGGATAAGCTCCAGCATCCCAGCAACCCTACATAGGACAAGCAGTTCGGAAATTGGATGGATGGATATTTGAAATGAGATCCCTCTAGGCCTGGCAACAACTTTGCATACTGTTATCCTCTTTCCATATACATCATTGGCTTAGATTTAGTTTTTCTTTTGCTCAGACATGTCTCAATTTTTACCACGAAGAAGAAAACGGTGATTTGGAGGGATCAGAGAAAGTACATTGAACTACTTATTGAGTACTTTTTATTGGTTGCAAGAATACATACCATAACTCAATAATTTGCTTGTCCTAGGTATGGTCACTGTATTCTTTCCTGGCGTGTCTTGGGCCAAAGGCAGGGAAACACCCTAGACAGGCGGCCAGCTCAATAATTGAATATTACACTTAAAAAGTAATAACTACCTTCTTGCAGAGTTCTCACAGTCATGGATAACCTGGAAATATGTGGGAATTTTAAAACTTTTTCATACATGGCAGGGCTTGACATTCAGCATGTACATCAGTCATTTACTTGTCTGAATAAAAAAAAGTTACTTTTCCAGGAAAACATAAAGGATTTGTGTGTGTGGTGTAAATGTAATTTTATTCTGAAGCAATATTCTTATCAGTGTTCTATCAGCTCGCTCTTACTTAAATCAGTATATTTGTGATATTTGCCCCCATAAATTGGTTTACAGGGCATTCAATTAATCAGTATAAAGAATATCCATCTTTCCCTGCAGTGGAAACCCAAAAGCTGGTTAGAAGCAGAAGCAAAATACCGCAGTATGTTTCTGTTTCTGTGAGTTTCTTTGCATGTGTGCTTGCATTCATTTGTTTTGGTTTCTCCTCGAGAGTCTCATACAGCTTGCACAAGCTTTAACTGGTGCAAACTGGTTAGTGTCAATACATTATCTTTTACCAATCACGTTTACACATTGAATGTAATAAAATTAAAATCATTCTTGCCCAAAAAGTTTTGGTGGTTCCCTAGCAGACAAACGTTAATGTCGAGCACTGCATGGAAATATACACTCAGCCACTCCAGTGTTTACTAAAACTTTGGTATTTGGAATATAGCTCAAATAAAAATGAGAAAAATGACAAAACACAAAATTACTAATAGTAAAATTAAAATGAAAATTGAATATATAAAAACAAAAGCTAATTTGAAACATTAACAAATACTATAATAGTAGTACACATGTAAATAGTAAAGTACTAAAATAACACTGAGCCCCTCCAAAATGATTTTCAAAGATCCTAATCCAGTAAACCGACTTGGAAACCCTGAATTGGCTGAATCTTCATATTTCTGTGCGCAGAGAGCAGCAACTTTTGGCAAACATGTTTTTGGCATTGGTTGAAACAGTTCTGTCCTAGATTTCAGTTGATGCTGATACATACTGTACAGTATTGAACTTTGGTTGCTTCTCAGTATATTTTTTCCTGTAATAAGCTTATTTTTAGGGAATGCTCACAGTTATAGACTAATAAAAAAAAGTTCCCCCAAAGAGTTTTAAGGGTTTATGTACGTGAAACCGGAAAAAAAGTGTGTGAGAGGAAAGAATGATGATGGTGGATGTGGTGCATGGAAACAAAAACAGGGGTGGTCGGGGATCTTTTAGCACTGGGACTGCAGGATACTGGCCAATATTTTGACTCAATCTTTTGGAAGGTGACTTTTTGAAAATGTTTAGAGATCAAAGCCCAAAATCTAGTTTTACTTCAGGTTTTATTTTTTGTTTGCTCTCAGGCTCAACGTCTGCCTACCATGACACCAATGAAGTTGTGCATGAGGACGAGACTTACTACACCCCTCAGCTGGACTACAAACGTAAGTACTTTCACAAATGAAACAGTTTGACTAATAGTGAAATGCTAGTTACTTAACTTTAAAACTTTTTTTTTTTGCCATCAGATCCGCAGTGGTGCCATACACTTAAGCTATCCAGCGGGGAAGTGTCCTGTTCTTCCCCTCGAGGCGGGCGCTACCAGAGCTCGCTTGGAACTCGCTGCTTGCTCTCCTGTGATCGAGGATATAAACGGTTGGGGCGATCATCTGTGCAGTGCATGCCCAATCGCCGCTGGTCTGGAACCGCTGTCTGTCGAAGTAAGTACTTAAAAGGTGTCAAAATAATTGTACCACCACTGAAACTAGTCCGTTGATTCAGAAAAAAAACATGTATTAGGCAGCTGCTGCAGAGCACTTGACAAAATCTGTCCTTACTTGCACCGTGTGTTTATATTATGTCTGAATCTCTCAGAGGTGCGTTGTCATGTTCTGCCTCTGATTGACCACGGTATGTACAGTTGCACCCGGGGTTTTGTGGTAGACTCCAGGTGTGACTACACCTGCTATGAAGGCTACCAGATTGAGGGAGATCGCTACCGTATGTGCCAAGAAGAGGGGAAATGGAGCGGCACAGAACCGACGTGTGCAGGTACAGTAAAGTTATCTATTTGGAAATCTAGTCAAACGTATTTAGTTTCCAGATGCCATTGTGTCATTATTTAGGCCAATTTCTCCAGTTCTCCCACATCAGAGAGAAGACGTTGTAATATTTAATAAAAATTGCATTGTTTCAGATCATGACCCCCCCAAACTGAAATGTCCTTTGTCCAGAGTGAAGGTAGCAGAACCAGGAAAACTAACTGTCATGGTTTCCTGGGAGCGTCCTGTAGCTAAGGATACAGCTGACAGAACACTACAGTATGTGTATCACATTTTATGAAAGCCATCCAACTTCCTCTACTGTATGTTAAATAGGCTACCTATAAATTACATTTTTGTCATCCTTCATCAGGGTCTTGCGAAATGGACCGGAGTCTGGGTCCGACTTTCCAGAAGGAATACATGTGATTCGATATAAAGTCTACGACCAGGCTCGCAACACAGCGACTTGCAAGTTTAATGTGCATGTTGAAGGTAAAGCCAGCATAAAACTTTGATTTGCCTTTGTTTCACAGTGTTAAAGGAACGGTTCACTTAAAAAATTAAAATTGTGTCATTTAATCATCCTCATGTTGTTGTTTTTCTTCTGTGGAACAAAAATAATGGACCTCACTGACTTTCATTATATGGGCAAAAAGCACTGAGACATTTTTCTAAATTTTGTGTTCCACAGAGGGAAAAGTCATGAGAAATGATGATAGAATTTTTATTTTTGGGTGAACTATCCATTTAACTATAATCAATATTATTAAAATATGACTAGAAAAAGTAAAAACAGTGGTAAATTCCCTAAAGTGAAATATTCTTTCCCTCAGTGAGAAGGTGTCCAAAGCTAAAGCCGCCTATGCATGGCTACCTGATATGCTCATCTGATGGCAATAATTATGGGGCTATATGTGAATACCATTGTGATCCTGGCTTTGAAAGGACAGGTTTTGCGACACGTGTTTGTCAGCTCAACCGCAGCTGGTCCGATGACGCTGCTCGGTGTGTATGTGAGTATGTGGTTTAGTAGAAATAATTTATATAAGTTATATATTTACAATAAGTTATGTTTCATTACATAGTGATGAAACTACATATTAAATATTTGAGTGTAAAACATTTTTCTCCAAGTATGTGAAATGTTTGCTTTTTCTTGTAGTAATGGAGATAAAAACAGATGTCAGGTCTGCTGGTGCTCTGCTTGACCAGTTTTATGAAAAGAGAAAGCTTCTTGTTGTATCTACTCCAGATAATGCTAACCAGAACTACAGGCTTCAGAACATTATGCTACAGGTAATGTAGATACTTCTTTCACTCTAACAAACATAATCACAGGAAAGAAGAGTGTACAACTATATGATTGTGGGAATGTTCTGAGACAGAAGGCTGAGTGTGGTCTGGATCTGCGACATGTGACCGTGATTGAGCTGTTAGGAACTCCACCTCGCGCAGTGGGGCGCATCAAAGAACAACGTCTGGAGCCTGAGGTCATAGAGGGTCTTAGGTAACTCACTAGTATCTACAGCAGTGTTTACATGTTAAATACCATTATATTTAACTATTGTATTTGCAACTGCAATATTACAAAAAAAATGCAAGGAATGCACCGATCATGATTTTTCATGGAGGATTTTTTTCTTTAAGCAAATTTATTTGTCAGTTATTTACTCCATTACAGGCCAAACTAGCTTTATACAAAAAATGTATCTCTGTAGCCATTTGAAACCAGTGCATTATAATCACAATCTAAACAAAGAGGCTACGAGCAGTTGTTTTTGATTTAAATTGGATTATATAATTTCAAGATTTAAAGCAAAAACAGAATGGTCCGACTTCAGATTTGTGAGATTATGCTACATAAAACACCTGCGCCAAACAAAAACAGCAGACAGACTGAATAAAAATGCAAATTCTCTGTTAGTAGGTGGTGCTTATGGAACAGCAGAGATATAGCGTTTCCTTGGTTACTGCTGTACACAAAGCAGTTCTGCACTTATACACACGCTACTTAGTTTAATAGGATTATATGGAGATTGAGGAAAAGAAAATGCCCTCAACTTTTCTGAAGATACATTCATATAAACCCCCAATCCAAATTCAATATTTATATTTTTCTTCCAATATTTCGAGCATCACAAACAGTGAGCTTTCAGTGCCTGGTACTTTTTGCGTCCGCCTTCAGCAAGTCCGTCTCTGGCCTGTGTAATATTTCCACACAAATTACATTTTGGCAAATGATTGCAATGCAATTTACACTATCCAGTCAGTTCCCAGTTGATACAATCAAGATCCCATTATATGTTTTGTCATTGAATATCCTTTTTCAAATAAAATGGGGTGCAAACTGGATTTCATGCTGACTTTATGTTCCGGCAGAGACATATTGGCCAGTCTAATTTCTATTCAAGACCTGGTCTTATTTTTTTATACAAGCCACATAACAGTTTTGGACAAGACACTTTCGCAAGGTTTTGCATCAACAGTGACTCTATACTAAAGGAAATCATTTTGCTGATGCTCTGTACTATGAATGTGTTCTATCAATCTAAAAGAGGTAAATGTTTGTTTTTTGTATGCAACAGACAGGCGCTGCATATCTCGACAGCCTATTTCACCATGGTGTTGCTGGATGAATACGGTGTGGATCGGGAGCGCTTTGTTAACCCCACCACCTCTGATGAGCTCTACTCGTATGTAGAGGAGTATCTCCTCACTGAGGAGGAGCGAGAGAGACTGGAGATGAACAGGGACTTCTGTGACTGACCTCGGTCTGATCGACTCCAGATCTGTGGGGGGCATGGTGATGTTGTGGGTGGGAGTTTTCCTTATTGCGGTTGGTCATCAAGATGCATGCACCCCCTGAACCTGTTTCCTAGACAAATAGTCATTTGAAACCACATATTGTAGCCATTACTAATAGAGAATCACAGCTGGAAATGTGATTTAATATAGAACAGGTTTTAATCTGCAAGTGGGAAAACTGCCAAGCAGGGTTGCAAAAGATACACATATTCTGAGGAAAAATTATTTTAACCATCTATAATCGAGTGCACAGCACACAATGCGGATTCTTCAAAATATTTAATATTTATTAAATGCAAGTATTTCTATGTAGCTCCTAAAAATAATGCTAAATCAGCATTATGTCATTAAAATACATTGTGTTAAAATATGTGAAACCTTTCGGGGCATACATTGTGCACATTTAAAACCAAAGTGTCATTCAAATAAAACATTTACTGTGTCCAAAGGTTCATTTTTAAGAACAGCATTCAAATGATGTTGTATTTGAAAGCATCCATTCAGCTGCAATATTTATAGGAAATAAATACAAATAACATATACACACTGCATATCATTATTTTTTAACTGCCTTGAATGTTTAAAATATAAAAGATGCATTAACCTAAAAAGTCTTTAAAATATTACAGGGCTGCACAGCTGTAACAGAAACACACAAGCGTTGTGGAATGTGTAAACCTCTGTCCTGATAATGGCTTGGGGGGGATTGCACAATGTCCTTACTTGGCTTTTCCCATGGATGAGCGCAGTGGAAGAGTGCCCTCTGCCCAAGAGTCAGGGTACTGCATCATCTTTTTCCACAGCAAGATCTCCTCCCCTGTGGAGTTTGCCACCCACTCTTCATTTCCTTCCGTGACAGTAGCTGTGCAAACATCAGTTTCAGATCACTTAAATATTTGTATTCAGCAAAGATGTATTCAATTGATCAAAAGTTGTTACAAAAGATTTAAATTTTAAATAAATGCTGTTCTTTTGAACTTTCTACTTATCAAAGAATCCTGAGAAAAATGATTATGGTGTCCACAAAATTATTAAGCAGCACAACCGTTTTCAACATTGATAATAAAAAGAAATGTTTCGTGTCACCAAATCAACATATTAGAATGATTTCTGAAGGATATTGTGAACCTGAAGACTGGAGTAATGATGCTGAAAATTCAGCTTTGCAATTACAGGAAAAAATATTGCATTTTGCATGGCATTTAAAACAGAGAAATTTTTTTAGCAAATAAATGAAGCCTTAGTGAGCATTAGAGCCTTCTTTCAAAAACATTAACTTCTTATGGCAGACTTGTGTATGGTTATTATTAATATCAATAAAACTTGACAGAAAAGAAAAAAACCTGGATGGTGTTACGGGAAGACTTAATTTGGTGTCTGCAGTTGGTGAATCCAAGAATTGAAATCAACATTAAAGGCTTTTGTATTGATTTCCACTCAAGGAATATGAAGCAACAGATTCTCCTACCTGCTTCCAAGCTGAGGCGAACTCCTCCCAGGAAGTCGTTGCTGGACAGGGTCTCTCTGTCCCAGACAGTGAGCTCCAGACACATGTCATTCAGCTGCTCCAGACTCAGATCTTTGTACACAAATGTGTGGTTGTAGTTTGGGTTCTTTGTCTTCTTCACAACTGGAGTCTTCTTCTTTGAGGAAGACTTGCTCTTCAATGGCAGCAGATACCTGAGGGGCAGAATTATTGGCAAAAAATAAACAAACACAGAAAAATCCTTTTAAATTGGGTAGAGGGAATGAAACAGATGTTTGCAAACCCTTTCACAAAGGAATCACATGTGCCTCCAGCTTTCATGGCTGTGAGATTTTTGGCTTCTTTGATCAACACATGCAGCTCAGCACCATCTGAGGGTTTGGTCTTTTTCCCTTTATTGGAGAAAAGAGGAATAATTTACTATGCAACACTAGCTAAAGATTTTAATAGATATGTTAACTGTGTTTCCTCACCTTTTCCATTAGAGTCCTCTGGATGTGTCGTATTTGCTGTGACATATTTAAGTGAAATCACCAGCTCTCCTTTGTATTGATCGAATGGAGATGATGCCAAATGGGCAGCTGCCTATGAAGACACGCAGGAAAAAATGTAAAGGGAATATGAAACAAAACAATTTGAGAGTAGTGACATTTCTGTGGCATCAAAACAACCATAAAAGTGTAGTACCTTTCCTCTAAGAGCCATACACTCTTCAACTGCTGAGTCAATGTCATAGCTAGCCAGTGGTACCTCCACCTCACCCAGAAAGGCATTGTGGCCAAAACGGTCATAGTGCCAAACAGAGAGTTGTAGTGTGCGAGTCATCAGCTGGGTGCGGCTGACGGAATACTAACACAAACAAGCATGAGACAGCTTGTCAAGATGAAATGTTTTTTTAGAAGTAAGAGGTTGCCATGATGGAGCTTTAGCCAGTTTGTTTAATCTGTTTGTGTGAACTGCACATGTTGTTTACTCTAGATTAAAATGAGGCAAGCATAAGAACTAATATTTGTCTCGTTGTGACTCCGATAAGTGTACTTATCTTCTGTATCAATATCAAGCCCATTCGAAACTAGATGTTAGTGTGCAGTGTTGTAATTACCTGCCATTAAAGCATTACATATAGACTTAAGTGTTACTCAGTGGTATCAGTTTCTGATAGTATTTCTTGTTCCAAGCCATGAAAAATTGTTATTTTAGAGAGTTTAGTTTTGCTGGGAATCAGTCTATTTAAAATTATACTTTTTAATTAAAAAAAAATACTATCTGACAGAAATTGAAACAATACCTTCAGTGTTTCCTTAAAACTGGGGTTGATGTTATGTTTGATGGAAGTTTTCTTCTTGCTCTTGTCTGGGAGGAGGTAAGCCTTGACGTATCTGTAGAAAGGAATCACCCAATTCGGGGGAGTTTAGCATAGTTTTAAACTGAGTGATTTTCCCTCTGTAATGGAGAAACCCAATGGAATTATTCATGGGTGGGAAATTATTCTTCTTGGAAGGCAGTAATGAACTGAGACCCTCTTAAGAAATCACTTCATAGGCTGTGTGGAGGCCCACTTACGGGTTGCACTTCTTTTTTGCTGCATCAGCATAAGCCAGCCCTTTACATTCATGGACCACAATAGACAGGCTCTGGCTGGACTCATCGTAGCTGAGAGAGAAGACAATATCTCCACTCACTTCCACACGGTCATAGTCTCCTGCTTCACTGTACACACTCATCATACTGCCAAGGGTGGTCTGTGGAATAAAAATGTTTTAAAAAGCTGCCCAGCACATTCAAGTGTCTAATATTTCATTTTATTTCATGTGTACATAAGACAATTTTAAACTATAAATAAACTGCACTTTATCTTGATTAATGCAAGTTTATTATTTTAAAGGTGCTATATGTATTTTTTAGTGGCCTCTATCGGTGATGTTTCAGATTGCAACCAATTTTTACAAGAGCACTCGTGCTCTTGCGCGTGCTCGAACACAAGAGCGAGCACTCATGGTACCGGCCGGCCACACTGACTGAGACTTTCAACACACTGGAGAAAGCATCACACAACATGCTGGAAACTCATGTAAACTCCCACTGCAACGTTACAATAATAGGCTACTTTTATCAGCTTGACGTTGAACTAATGCTCCATGCTCGTACCATGATAACGTCACATTGACTGCATTTAGCCGGCATGTGGTGTTATCTAGCATAATGCATTTCACTAACTTCGTGTCTTTCACAATCAGGCAGCAATGTCAACATAGATGAATGTATAATATGATAACGAGAACGGTTAGTGAACTAGACTGAACAATTTCAGTGCAACAGTAAGATCGTAGGAAGTAACATTACTGTACTGAACGTGTCTGGAAATGTGTATTATAAACAATATGATAGTAGTGGGATGAGTGACGTTAGACAGTAGATCTAGTACATCAAATAAAAGTTACATCCTCCTAAAGCACCTACTTTTTGTTATCCTGGAACAGTCTTTTGTATTCATTTCATATCTCATGTATGTTGTAGTTTACCTTGCTATTTCATTACAGTTTACCATTATTTATTTCAGCATATCTGAAAACTTAATAGCGGAGGTCTCTCCATAATTCAAACGCTCTGCCGATGTTGATCCGTGTTTTCGTCCTAAGTCGATTCGATTCACGTTTGGCCTGACGAGCTTCAGCAGATCAATTTTTGTTTTGTTTTTTTATATTTATGTGGAGTTTGTGTTGGAGTCGGTGTTGTGCTGGAGGCAGGTCGTTTTTTTTGGTGTTATCAGACTCCATGTCGTCAGCTGCAGTGCCGTCGCATAGACTGTATATAAAAAGGAGAGAGGCTCGGGAGCGCGCTTGCACATCACATCCGATGGATTTCACAGAAAATCCGACCCGGAGACTTCACATAGAAATAGGAATACTGGCCTTCAGAGGTAATAGCAGAACCCGACAAGTGGATCATTGTAATGTGTGATTACAACCCCTTCACACACAGGCAATAAAAAAAGGATTCGTTTTAGAAGAAAAGTTCCATATAGCACCTTTAATTATTATTAATAATTTATTTTAAAATGTAATAATATTCATAATTAAAATAATGTTTAAATTATTACCCTTGAGCCTCCCAGACTTCCCAAGCTTTTACCAAATTTCTGCCTGTGTATATTAACCAAGTTATCAATATCTTCCTCCTCCTCCTCATCCTCCTCCTGATAAAACAATTCAGGCATGCCAATCAGGTCACTTTAGATTGCAGAAGTGAAGAATACAGTGCAAAAATTTTAAATGGTTTGAACTTTATTCTTAATTAACTCACAGCATTAAGGCCAGGAACGGACTTGCTTCTATCTCTCATAGATGGAGCAGCGCTTTCTGTTCCATCTTCATGTAAATCAAGTGTGGAGGCTGGTTTAATATCTAGGAGAAAACAGTGTTTGCGCATTTAAAAGCCAGAGTGGAAAAATAAATGTATGTATACTACCATTCAAAAGTTTGGGGTCAGTAAGATTTTGTAATGTTTTTGAAAGAAGTCTCTTATGCTCACCAAGGCTGAGTTTATTTAATCATAAATACAGCTAAAACTGTAATATTGTGAAATATTATCATTTAAAATAACCGTAATGTAATTTATTCCTGTGATGGCCAAGCAGAATTTTCAGCATCAGTATATTTTTTCAGGTTTGATGAAAGTAAGTTGAAAACAACAGCATTTATTTGAAATGGAAATCTTTTGTAACATTATAACTGTCTTTGCTGTCACTTTCAAATCTAATTCAAATCAAATTTTTTAAAACTGACCCCAGACTTTTGAAAAGTATTGTATACTCAAAATATAACCTTACCTGACAGTTTGTGCACTCTTCTGACACTTTTCTTAAAAAGCCCATCCACGTCACGCAAAGAGTCAGAGCAGGAATTCATGTGATGAATTAATGAGGCCTTATTTTGGTGGGATGATGGTGGAAAATGCATGGGAATAGGGGACACACGGGCAGAATTAGGACAGAGAAAGCACATGGCTAAACTGGGTAAAGTATGAATAAACACTTACTGTCTCAGTGGTAGAGGGGCTGTCACTGTTACTGGGGGCCGTCAGGATGGACACAGCAGAGCCTGTGGGACTAGTCTTGGCTGTCAGTTCCTCTTTTCTAGAAGCAAATCAGAGGCTTGCATCACACTGCTACATCATAATCAGCATCATCATGGATCTCTGTGCCTCTGACTAAGATCTTACCTCTGCATTGAGGGGGTACTGTGGGAGAATTCAGTCTCAGTGCGACTGGTTCCCAGACTGGCTATTTCTATTGATTCTGTGTCGCTACGTTGTTGCTCTCGCACATCAAGTCCCTCATAAGCCTCAAGAGGTGAGCTGAGAGAGAGAAACAGGGTCAAGTACAGATGCTAGACAGAGCTGGCATCCTAATAAATCACATTCAAACACCTCAACCACTGTGATAGTGGCATCAAAAGGCTAGAGGAATAGTACACTCAAATAAAAATAGAATTTTTAATTACTCATCCTAACACCATTACAAACTGATATGCTTTTATTTTTCCTGTAGAACACACAAAACAAATAATTTCTTCCTTACCGTCAAGTTCCAAAAAGGACGCTAAAAGCACCATAAAAGTGGTCCATATGACAATATATTAACTGATAAGTTCTCGAATCAAACAGGTTGGACATTTATATTATCACATGCATTTGTTTTTGTGCGTCTCGTAACCAAATATCATTAAGTAAAACTGCACCTATTGGATTTTGACAGCCTGTGGAGACTTGTACAAAAAAGATCTGTGTGAAAATCTTGTTGTCCCCACAAAGATGCCAATATCCTAAATCCTTGACCATATAGGGAAATTTTTTGGTCCCCATGAGGAAAACAGCTTATGAATCATACTAACTGATGTTTTTTGAAAATGTAAAAATGCAGAACGTTTTTTTTGAGGGTTGTGATTAGGAGTAGGTTAGAGTTAGGGGACAGAATGTACAATATAAAAATCATTTTCCATAGAAAGTCCCCATTAAACATGAAAACCCAATGTGTGTGTGTTACAAAAAAAAAAAAAAAAACAGCATTCTGGTTTATACTTATATAAGGATAAATAATGACCACAGAAATAGTCTGTGTGACCTTTAATGGACCAGAGTGATATCACAATAATTGGAAAATAGTAAATATTTTTTATGAAATATTTAAAAGAAGAACATTACACTGTTTGATCAGTAGAAACATGAGACTGTATAAATAGTGCTGATGACAACACACCTCTTATTTGCTAGCGCGACGTCCTTTAGTCTTGGTTTGGGCACAGGTACAGCTTGGCTGGAATTCAAGTCAGCTCTGTTTAATAGCATTTCCCCAGCTGTCTCTTTCTTTTTAACTAGAACAGAGAGATGTAAATTTCAAAATGGGGAAGTAAGAGGTGTATAATGATTAAACTCAAAACACTGCCGACCATTATTCTCTAAAGTAAACCAGATAATTATTCCTCTCTCTTTTCCTCTTCGTGAACACAGACAAAGAAAATCTACTTTCCACCCTTTATAAAAACAGAGTAGGTTCACATTGCTCTATCCGAATGTCTGGCATCTGCTTCCTGTACTCACTCAGAGGCCTCTTCCTGAGGGAAACTCGGACTAAGTCGTGTCCAGGAGCTGCAGAGAAGCGGTTAACCCTCTCGTCATAGAACCAGTCTCCGGTGCTCATCTTCAGATCTCTGAGAGAGAGAGAAAAAACAACAACCTGAATTTGAGTTTCTGTTGAACATTAACCTTTTCCATTAAGCAAGGGCCTCATTTTCCAGTCTAATGTGCCTCCTACTGACAGATTTTTTTTAAATGGACTGAGGCTAAAGAGAACGATATTAGGAGGCATGGGGTACACACTCACATCTCTTTGGCACACACTGTGCACACCCAAGATCCATTGGGTCGAACTGATTGGCATTTTCTGCAAACCTGATGTTTGCATACTCTGCATTGGCTACCGTTGCTGGTCAGAAGGCCCATGGGCTCTTGGCAGCGGCCACAACTGCGTTCACTGTATTTCCCACTGCCACGCTTCGCACCCTTTCTTCTGGTTTCCAGCAACTCGGATTTCAGCTTCCTAAGAGCACACATATTAACAATTATTTGCCTGACCAAAACATCCTTTCCATGGATAGGGTACAAAATAGGCTCCAATTTCTGATGAATGTGATTTTATTTTTCTAGCAGTACACATTAAAGCTGCAGTCCGCAGTCTTTCCTCTTTGTTGCCATCTTTGTTCGAAATCTGCAATTGCAGTTATAAACTTTACGTGGGTTGTACCTCGGCACGGCACAGCGCGGATGAATCCAATGTTTTGAGGAGAATGTGCGGCTGTCAGTCTCCGCGCCGGTGTGGATACTGTCATTCGGCATCACAGATTCTACTTTTTGGAAGTACGACCAACATAAGAATTTTCACCCTAAATTGTCATCTGAACAATTAAGTAACATCCACCTTTGTTCTGACCAACTAAGGGGAAAAAAGCATTGTAGTAAATTGCGCTGATTAAATCTAACGATCGCTTATCATACCACGGCAAACCGTGCAAATTATACTTTTTTGTCAGATTGTTAATATTAACAACATCAGCATTGCGTGACTACATTTAATGCCCTTCCGATATTATCCTTGTTTTCGCATGGGTCCAGGTTACAGTCTCTTTTTCCAAACTCTCAGTCCAAAGTCTTTTGCATTTTACAACAGGTGAATCTCCAATTGTCTTTTAAACCTTTCTGGATCCACCATCAAATTAATAAGTTTAATTATATCAAGTGCTGTGAGAAAAGGCTATAAATCTCCACCTCCAACATCCTCACACGCAATATAGCCGACTAGCCAAAACTCCTTCTTTATGTGTACAGATGTGACGTAATGACGCAAAGACAAGCTCGAATCTCCCACGGAAATCCACCAGTACCACTGGAATTAAAAACATTATTACAAGCTTGCCGCTTTGAATCGAGCTAAGGCAAGCAGATAGTTTTGAACACTGGCTGGTTATGTACTTGCTCAAATTTATTTTGGATAATTTTAACCCAAAAAAGTTACGGACTGGAGCTTAAATAAACACATAAATTAAGCTATATTAATTCAGATATAAATATCTGTTGTAACAATGTAAAAGTCTTTACTGCAGCTTTTGATCAATTTAATGTCCTTGCTGAATAAAAGTATTCATACTGACACAAACTTTTGAATGGTAAAAAAAAAAAAAAAAACACACACAATGTCAGTGACATAGTCAGTCAATAGTGGATATTTTAAGACCCGAAAATTATTTATTGCTATTTAAAAAAACAACAACTGATTAGTCTATTTTAAATAAATAGTTTTATTTTAGTCTGCATTTCAAGAACAGGACTGATTCTTGATGAGGCAACAGTGACACTCACTTCACACGCAGCTCCTCCAAGCGCCTGAGCTCCTCATCCCGCCGAAGGACCTCTAGTATGAATTCTTGCTCCGAGTCGGTCAGGAAGGACACGTTGATCTCCATGTTCTGCACCATCCTCAAGAGTCAAGCCCTGCTTCTAAGGAATAGTAAAAAAAAAAAAAAAAAAACTCTGGATGCATTAAGTCAACAGAATATATTATGTCAACACAAATGCAAATTACAGAAACTTGTAGAACCACCTGCAACAATTTACTAAGGAACATACCAGTGTTGCACACAGATAGAAGCTCACCCAACCAAGAATAGGACATTTGCTTTTCAGAGATGAAGAGAAGAGACTAATATATATAATGAGAGAGTGTTACACAAATAAAGAAAGCCCTGCTGTTTGTAAAAAGGGAAGAGACCTGGACACCGGGCAGAACTGACAAATAAAGGGAGTGACCTTTCTCAGTGCCTTCACGCAGTGTCTGTCAGTGTCAGTGGCTCTTCGACACCTCTCTGCAGGAGCTGAGTAATTAAACAAGCACAAGGACACACTGTGACATGCAGCTCAACATGCAAATTAGTTGGTTACCAATGAGCCAATATCACAACAGGGAAGCAGAGATATTCCTATCCCTGTATCTACCACATAAATCAAGTATAAGCATATTAACAGTATTAAAAAAAAAATTAAAGCCAAGCAAATGTATTTATTTTGCACAAAAAAAAAAATTGTACTTCTCACCATATTCTTACGAAAAGGACGAAAATAATTCTCTGGTGGGAAGACATGGCCAGAGAGCATGAGAACCTTGTTTTGATTTGTCACTGGTAAAATTATGGACAGCAAATCAATCATTTTTATGTTTTGTTTGAGATTAAATAGCTAAAGGCCAAACTAGTGTGGGAAAAGGGGCCCCAGAACTGGAATGTCATCAGGAAAAGAGGAAAACAACATGCAGTCAGCTTATCACAAGAGTCACCACCCTTTAAGGACACAACCATGGGTGGAGATCTTTAGCAAACCTTTTTTAAATGAGCCACTTATGATGATACAAAGCCTTGTAAATGCCCTTTGAGCTCAACTGGTGGAAAAAGTGTGAGAAAAGAAAAAAATATTCAATAACCTTCAATTACAAAGGGAATTTGGTCTGCATCCAAAACAAATGACCCTCTGTGGCAAACTTTTTCCTCATTCTTTAAATGTTTGAGGAAAATAGAGAGGATTAAACTGAGCACCACTAATAATGGCAACTTCCTCCAGCTATACTGATAAAGATCAGGGCTGCGTTTCCCAAAAACATCGTAAGCCTAAGTTGATCGTAGAACCAATGCTTTTGGGAAATCCAGCCCTGAAGGATTTGCGCTGCTCTCTAACACATGGACCACACACACAATAACATTAAATTCACTTAACTAAATAATCCAACATTACATGTAGGGGGAAAGGATAAAATAAACGTCGTTCGAGACAATATCAACAACTGAAAAACTCTCGTTGTATATTTTAGGGAAGTGTTATTCTAATGTAGAATATAAACAAATACAGTTTGTCGCATATTAAATAGATCTATAACATCTCTAGCAAAATCTTTTCAAACGTGTTTTCAAATTTTCACTTACCAATGCCGCAGGATTTTCCCACACTCTTTCTCCCGTTTCCTTCTCCGTGCGAGCTCACTGACTTCCAGCTTTGCCAAACAAACCTCGCGTCCCGGAACAAAAGTTTTTAGTCACTGCAGCTCTGCCTGCGCGTCAGAGAAACTGGAAGACCATGCGACAGGTGCGCGTCCACGATGCGCGCAGACGTCATGGTCCATGGACAAAAATCACATATTCGTGAGCGAGGTTATTGGTCTTCAGTGTTTTAAGATTTTAAAACCCCTCAGACCTGAATTGTTTTCCACTAAACAAAACAAAAACAAAAAAGAAAAGAAAAATTTTACCTAAAAACCAACCAATTTTTTATTTTATTTTTTCATGTCCATTAAAATGGACACCAGGACTGTCCTGGTGTCCATTTTAATGGACATGAAAAAATAACTAAAGCAACATAAAATACATTAAATTTAACCATACTTATGAACTTGAGCTTAAACATATACATTATGTTAATTCGTTCAGAAGATTTTGATAATGCAATATGAAAAAGGGTAAGATGATAGGATGAAATATTGTTTGAGTCTTTTTGTTGCTTGCAGTGGATGAATCTATGTATGTGTCTATGTCTGTCTGTACTTGCTGGTTGATTTGATAAATATGATTGTGTGCATTGTCATATCAATGCATCAGTGTGTGTGGAGTATGTTGCTGTGTATTATTCACTCATTTCATTTCACTTTCTGTCACTCACTAAAACATGGAAAAGTGATTTACATTGTATAATCACTTTTAGGACAAATAAAATCATATTTATTACACACAAACAATCACAATGTATTACATACATTATTATAACCCTATATTTAAATGGGATTTGGGATAGAAAAAGAAAAAGTATACAGTACCATCCGAAAGTTTGGGGTCAGTACGATTTTTTAAGATACTTATTCAGCGAGGATGCATTAAATTGAACAAAAGTGACAGAAATGTTTTGTAACATTATAAAAGTCTTTACTATGTTATAAAAATACTATTTCCTTTGAACTTTACATTCGTCAAAGAATCCGTAAGAGAAAAAAGTCAAGCAGCAAAACCGTTTTCCACATTGGAAATAAGAAATTATTTCCAAAGGATCAAGTGACAATGTACACTGCAGTAATGGCTGCTGAAAATTCAGCTTTGGATCACACAAATAAATTACATTTTAATATATATATATATATATATATATATATAAATAGAAAACTATTATTTCAAAATGCAGTAAAAAAAGAATACTGTCTTTTGATCAAATCAGTGCAGCCTTGGTGAGCATAAATACTTTTTTTTTTACATTTGAAAAAAATCTTACCAACCCCAAACCTTTGAATGGTAGTGTATATTATACAATTATTTATTAGTATTGGGGAAATTCCATATAAATAAAATAAATATTGAAGGTTTCTTGTAAAATAATAATTGATGTTGCTCTTAGATGCTCCATTATGAATTTCTGTCACTAGATTTTAATTATTATTATTATTTTAATTATTTTTAATTGATTTTAATTATTATTATTATTTAAAATTATTACAAACCACTTCAAACATTTTGCATTTTAAACACACAAAAAAAAATAGATGGTGAAAAATCAGCAATCAGAGGGTTAAATTGACTAGAGCTAATTACAGACAGAGGGTCTAAACAAAAACAACTTTATACATGAGTGGATGTGTTTATCAGAGAGGTTTACACTCTAAGTCCAGAACCACATGACTGATATGTGGTGCGTATGTTTTGACATGCTCTATGTGCTTGATATTTGTCTTCCATTCACTTCCAGTGATGTCTAACAAGAGTGTACAGATGCGTCTGGCTGCGTCTGAAGCCCAAGCAGTCCATACTTGCATATCTCTCTGGATGGAAGAGTCTTTATTAACATCTATAGCAGATGAATGTTCAGGTGGTTTATGGTGGAAAGGTGTTGTGACATTGTGGTGAATATGCAGGATTCCACCAGTGCCTCTCTTTAGCAGATGACACGCCACTGGCCAACCCTCCTCTGAACTTGGTATGAGGCCCAAATTCACTCGATCAGCAAGATCACTTAAAGGAAGCTAAAAAGGATGTGCAAATGTTTATTTATTCAATTGTCCAGATATGTGGATCTGGAAATATTCACATAATGAGACAAAAAAATATATATACTGTCTATTGCCCAATCAACCGATTCTCTTCCACAACAACAACAACAAAAAATCGGAAAAATTAGTAGGTGAAATTAAGATAATGTCAATCAGCACTTTTGTATCTCAGTGTACAAGCTGTTATCCTCACCTGCCTGTTGTCTCCTTGATGAATAGTGCAGCGGTCGGACACACCGTTGATCTGTAGGTTTCTTTGAAGAGCCTTCGCTGCATCTGGGTTCCATTCACAGGCATGCACATGAGCAGCCTTAGCATGTACCAGATATGGAAGAGTGAAGTAGCCAATCCCTGGACAGTGGAGTAAAATATGGTCATACCATAGGGTGATAAAAACCATTCCAACTCTGAAATGGTAAACACACAGCATTGCTTTACCTGCAAATAAGTCAACCACAGTCTCTCCAATGCAGTTAAAGGAGGCTATTCTGAGCTTCTCTGTGATATTCCCAGAAGAGAACATGCATTTGGTGACATCAAACTCGTACCTGAAATTTCAGACAGATTAATTTATTTTAATATTCATTTAATAAACTGAGATGTAATTCTTCAAATAACGTGGCAACTTATGAGTTACCTAATATGGTTATCGATGTGTGTCACATAGCTGCTGTCTCCTAAAAGCATTGTCACTATAGGTGTGCGGTAACCATCATGGGAAATTTTTTTAATTTGTGCTAAACGTTTGACTCCCAGCGTCAGGGCAACAGCAGTCCAGAATTCAGATCCTAAAACAAATAAAAAGTAAGAACATATTTTAAAATATTTTGCATGCAATCAGACATTTTAGTTCATTGCTATAAAATATTATTCTGGGATCAATTAAATGTTAATAGAGGATATACAATCTAATAATTGTATATACAAAACTGGACCTAAAGAGGGTGTGAGATTCATTATCACCCACCAATTTCTTTCCATATTGCATTAGAGAAGCAGCCTTCACTAAACAGGACAAGATCTCCGTGGCATTGCCATCGGCTAGGAATGTCTCTCTCCAGATCCTCACTCCATGTTTCCCCTTTAGAAACCAGCAAGGACTGTGCAGTCTCTGCAAGCCTCTTATGGAAAGATTTAACTTTCTCCTTCTTTGATAATGGAGGAGCCTAAAAAAAGCAGGTATACAGAATACTGAGGTTCAGATGTTCATGTTCAGTGACTTGGGTGCAAAGTGCAAACATCTCTTAAATAACTGTCAGAGCGTATGTACCTGGATATCAACAATTTCACAAAAGCTGTCCTGTGCAACATGTTCCTTTAGTGCCACCAGATCAAGCTGTGCCAGAACAGATGTTACGACTGGAAGGGTTACAGTCCCATCTGAGTGTTTCTGTGCACAGTACATGCGGTCCAGAACACCTTGTGACAGTAGGTATTTTCTGAAAAATGCGTGTTAATACACCAGCAAGATATCAAAATAGACACAGAAACGTATAACTGCTAAACTAACCATAATATAACCATGGTATTTGTAGTAAAACTGGTCAAACAAATGGTTAAACAAATGGTTAAACAAATGGTAATCACTCCGCCAAAAAAACATGGTTACTACACTTTTACTATAATACAACCATGATTATTTTGGTACGGGGAAAATATGCCACCGAGCTCAACTATTTGTTCGCAGCCTACCTGTACAGTTGTGCATGACGCTGCGGCACTTTTAAACACGGAATTACAAACATTTTCCACAGGATGCGTTAGAAAAATGATCAAAATATATTATCTAATTAATTATCTACCAAACTCATATGAGGGTTCATCAAACCCGTATTTTGATTTTAACCTAAGGACACACTCGCCTTAAATAAATGTCGTTCCTAGTCGGTTGTGAGTTCCTAGTAGGAACATTATGAGTGTTGCACTTGTAGAGCGCTTGGAAATCTTCTTTTACTGTCTATGTTGGAAATGATGCATATGATGTGATTTAACAGAGGTTATTAAACATTTTGTTGTGTACCTGTTTCTCTCGGATTTTTTTTATATGCGCTGTAATTGTAAAAGTTATTAAATAATGCTGTCTTTCAAGTCATCATCCGACTAACGTTACACCACCGAAACGGTAGATGGCACAATGCTTTAGATTTTACCGCGAAAAACATCCGTCTGATGACGAAGAAATGCAGCCTGTCCAATCACAGTAAACGCATCTTTCCCACGTGACACTTTATAAACATTGGGGGAAGAGAGCACGGTAAGATATCTGCAATCAGAAGTTATAGATGTAGGAAATTATATATCCGTTTTCACCATATCCTTTTTTTATAGGTTTACAGAGAGTCAGTTCGGGCAACATTGATATAAACTGCTTTTAATAATAATAAAATGGTATACATTATTCATAATTAATAGGTAATCCTTCTTCCCATGGCATTTAATGTATTGTCATTTCGAAAAAAGTTTTTAAAAAAATTTAGGAATGTTAAAGGTATAACGGAAAATTGTTATAATGGAACCTGGCTTGTCATTGAACAGCTTTTAATAGGCTTTCCAGCTAAGTATGAAACACAAAACAGTTAATTAAAACGGCTGTCCTAATGTAAAATGTTAGGTAACGTCAACAAAAACAAACCATTGTTATGGGCAATTTTTATTTTATTAACACATTATATAAATTTAAAACGCGTCTGACAACTTGGCCTCCCAAAAATGAAAGAAAATACCCTTGTCCTGACAACATAGTTGAACCTTCCAGTAACAATGCCCTGGTCTCTCTTATGACAGTTCAATCCTAGTCACCTGTGCCTAACACACTTTGTTTTACTAGATGTCAGTGAACAGCTGTGTTACGTCTATCCAGCTTGATTCCCTCAAGCAAGCTGATAAACCACAGATCCACTTGTTACCTTGTGAAATAGAGCATGATGGACCTGCTGAAGTCTTCAAGTTCTTTAATCCCACTGTGAAGGAACGCAAACACGGTTAGTCAAATACCAGTGCACGGCTCGAGAATGAAACGTATTAAAGCTCTCCACCCAATAAAAATGACATTGTGTTTTGCAGAAACAACAGTGTCATTCAGAGGTCGAGGGCTGAAGGGTCAAGAATTGCATTGTCCACAAGGATACACAGGACTAGTGCTGAAAGAGGTCCAAAAGCCTGCGTCCGATCAAGAGGTGACCTGACCTGCACTTTTCTTGGGAACTACTAAATAACTGATTATTAACAGAAATTGTTTTGGCATTTGCTTTTAGGACAGAATAGTTAAAGTTTCTTCAGTGTTCCATAATTTCACATACTGGAACTTGGAGACACCTCCCACATCTGATGATGGAGTTGTGATGGCTATGGCATGGCCTCAGCTCGCAGAAGCGGTGAGTAACTCTTGATAACCACTTATTTACATAATTAGAATCTGATGGACTAAAAAACATTTTCTCTCAATTGAATTAAAATGTCTAAAATATTAACTTCTAAATCAATACTTCTTTCTGCAGATGCACAGACCAGTAGATGAATGATAATGGACTTTTTTTTTATTGTGGATACCTGCTTCTTCTCAAGTACATTGTTACAGTTAAACAAATGTGAAAATTATTCTTTGCTGGAAGTCAGAACAACTAACTCGCTGGGCTGTGGTATTGACCACCATTTTACCAAACTGATATTGAAGTATGAATGTCACAATGTAATATGACTAACTATTAAAATTTTGTTTTATTGTTTACCTTGTGCAAACTTTTACTTTCGCCATATATTTGTCCATTATTTATGAGTAACTGATACTTTTTGATCTGATATACCCTACCGTTTTAAATTTTGGGGTCGGTAAGATTTTTTTAACGTTTCTGATTAAAGTCTCTTATGCTCACCAAGGCATTTTTTTTAATCAAAAATACATTAAAAAACAGTAACATTGTGAAATATTATTACAATTGAAAATTACTGTTTTATTTTAAAATGTAATTTATTCCTGTTATGGCAAAGCTGAATATTCAGCATCCTTACTCTAGTCTACAGTCTTCAGTCACATGATCCTATAGAAATAATTCTGATATGCTGATTTGGTGCTTAAGAAACATTACTACCAATGTTGATTTGTTCTGCTTAATGTTTTTGTAGAAAACATAAATTGTTTTAGGATTTTTTGATGAACAGAGTTCAAAAGGAATCAATTTATTTGAAATAGAAATTATTGCAAATTGTTACATTATAAATGTCCTCAGTCACTTTTGAGCAATTTAAAGTGTCCTTCACGACTAAAAGAATTTAATTAAAAGATTTTTTTTTACTGACACCAAACTTTTGAATGGTAGTTCTCTACATTTTAGAGAATGGACCGATCCCAAAAGCTGGTTTTAATTTATTGTACCTGTAAGAAATGTTTCACCATCTTTCACTCTAACACAAAAATGCACAGAACACATACACAGAAAAACTCTTCCTTGTAGTGAGATAGTCATTTATCTGCTCTAATGGATCTCAAAGTGCCCCTATTATGCTATTTTAAAGGTTCCTAATTTGTTTTGGAGGTCTCCTACAATAGATTTACATGCATCCAAGGTCAAAAAACACTTTCATTTTCTTATAATATGCGTTGCACATCACCTCATTTCTCAAAGAGTCTGAAAATAGTTCGATCGAAGATTCAGTCTCTCTAAACCCCTCCTTTCCACAAGCCTACTCTGCTGATTGGCCAGACGGCCCAGTCTGTTGTGATTGGTCTACCACTTACAGCGCATATCAGAAACAAAATGCCTATTACCATATCCTAATTTCAGGGCTTCCTCAGGGCTTGATACACAGTGATACGAACAATGGCATAGGTTTGTCTGTATCAGTTCCAGCGTGAGTCCTGATCCTTTTGAAGTGCATGTAAAGTGGATTTGCAGAGCTGAAAACAGCGTCTTCTCGATATGTCGACAACACGAACCAAACTTTTCCAGGCCTCAGCTACAACTACAGTGTTGGAGGGCAGGACAAAGTAGATGTCGTTCACAGGCAGCCAATGAAGACCATAGGCTGGCATTATGCAAAATATGTTACATTGTTACATAGGTATATAACAGGAAGTGAAACTGGTAAAGTAATATTCGAAAAGCATAATAGGGGGACTTTAATGCTTATTTCTTGATATACCAGCTACAGTACACCCTAAGAGACAAAAAAAAAAAAACATTTTAAAATGCAAAACACCATCATGAATGGCAATTAACTATTAAAAGGTTTCAATATACTAGGTCTGTGTGCTGGAACCAATCTTGGTCAAGTTGAATTTACTTTTCTTTTTATAAAAACAATTTACCAATGAAGATTAAAACCAGGTTGTGCAACAATACAAATATCAAGGACATGTATAACTAGTGAATTAACAACAAAAACCTTGTTTGTGTTACATTGTTTGTTTGTATATGGCATGGAAGCAGTCAGGTGGAATCCTTTCCAAAGCGTTTACTGTTTTGAAGGATGAGCCACAAATGTATAGACGTGGCAATTTATGTTTTTGTGACATTTGCAAAAGCCTTCAGCAGGATTTTGTGTAATTTTCTAAATGACCAGTTAAGAAGATTGGACCACAATCAATGGCTACGTCTGGGGAGGAGGAGGAGGAGGAGGAGGAGGCGGTGATGGTGGAGGGTCCGACTCAACTCTGCTGCGTTTGACTGGCAGGTCGTGATCATGTGCCTTTCTGATGTGCCTGTACAAGTCTCCAGACTGTGTGTAACTGCGGTAACAGTAGCTGCACTCATACGGCCGTTCCCTGGTGTGCACAATGGCGTGTCTCCTCAGGGTGTAAGCACAGGAAAAGGTCTTTCCGCAAGTGATACAAGTAGGCACATCCTCCATGTAACTCCCAAGGGAGTCGTGAAAATCCTCGAGGTACATGGTCTGTTGCTCCGGGTGGGAATTGGCAGGAAAAAGGGATGACGGAAAGCCAGCGGTTTCGGCTGCAGAAGGATTTAGACCTTGCGGTGAAGGAGGGAAAGAAATGGGTTCTTGATGGGGAAGATGAATTAATGGGTGTGCTGTTATAAATTGAGTATCAGTGAGCTCCTCGACATCATGGTTGCTGTCGTCATAATCATCCCCATCGTCTAAATCTTCATTTTTTCGTGGGCCATTATCCATGACCACCGTCTCGTCTGTGTCATCAGACTCTTCATCAGAAATCACAATGGCCTCTACTTTCACTTCAAAGCTCTCTTCATTTTCCTCCCCTGAAGTTTGTGAAAGACTTCCTCCCCTAAAGTTTTGCAAAAGTTTACGCTTATTTTGCATGCTACTTGTATTGGACGAAGTGTTCTCATGTCTCCTTTCGTTTTGGCTCTGAGTGTGCTGTGATGACCCTGGATTCCCAGAACTTTTATTTTGGACTTGGGGTTTAAGTATTTGAGTCGGCATGAAAACACTAGGTTCATGTTCTTGGGCAGCGCTGGTGTTGTCCACACTGCTCAGAGCCACGGCAGTGGCTACAACAGGTTGAGTCTCTGTCTGAATTAGTTCTGTTGTACTACACGGACTTGAAAGTGCAGACTCAAGGCTAGCAGACCGTGCCGATATTCTTGTTTTGTCAGGTCTAGGCGATGAACAATATGTGGATGGTCCTGAACAAGAATTACTAACAGCTGGTAGCGAGTCCATTCCTGGTTGGGTGGTGTCTGCCATCTCTGACCTCTCCACACTGTGTGTGAGGAGGTTAGCCATCCCTGCTTGTGTTTCAGTCTTGGTATTGATATAAAGTGACATTTGTTGGCTCGACTGATGACAATGTTCTAGTCCTCCATCTCTTCCTGTTTCTGCGCCAGGTACGTCTTTTCTAGGCGAGCCATCAAGACCTCCAGGTTTAGCAGACTCATTTGCTCCAACTTCTACTCTTGTGCTATCCGCCTCAGCCAATCCTCGACCCTGAAGTCTTCTCTTACAAACTCGCACCACATCATTCATATGTAAGAAGCTGGCTGCGGCGAGCACGTCCTCAGGAGGGGGGTGGGTTGCTAATTGCAGTACTCCTTCATACATGAAATCAAGAAGGAGTCCAAAGGCTTGAGGGGTCACGATATCTCCATTAATAGTGACTGTGTCTCTCTGTGGCCCTCCGTTGACTGTGCTGGTATTTCCTATTGACTGATCTGAGTAAAACATATGGAAGAAAGGGGAGAAAGAGGCCAACACGGCACGGTGGGCTCCAAAACGAGTCGGGCCGACCTGCACGGTGCAGTCACATAGGAAACCTTGCAGACGCTGAGAGCGCAGGCTGGCCAAGAGCTGCTGACCATGTTCTGGGAACTCCATTTCTACTGACAACCTAGTAAAAATAGTATTCATTAATGTTATTATCCAGAAGATGTATTGTTAATAAGCAGTTTATGCAGTATATATATCGATAAAATATGTTAAAATATCCATTATAATATGATAAAATTCATAATATTAGCATCTACTTCTTGTTAAGATGAAATGTTTCTTACAGAAATGTCCAGAGTAATGACAAAGTCCCCACGTCCGCTTTAACATCTGCTGCTTTGACGCACCATCATGTTTGCTTTATTGATCCACTGACATTCTCTTGATATGGACAGTTGTTCACTAATCCATGCCAGTAAATGTATATGCTTCAATCCTTAAGGAATATAAACTAATTCATAATCTTCGTGTATTCTTCTTCACACAACATCTTTGTATGATTGGTTAGTACACCAAACCTTCTCCGGAGCACCGTAATATAACATCGAAAGCGTCCTTAAAATATCTTCTAGCCAAAAGGACAACCTCTTGAATGGTTTATTGATTCTCTGTAAGTGAAGACCCAGTGTGTGAATTTTTAAAACGTATATGCGATACGGGAGTGTTTTCCTTTATGACAATACATGACGAAAACACACTTCTACATGTAGTATGTTCAGCTTGTATGTACAAGTGTGCTCTGCCACCTACTGACGAGGAGGAAGACGAAAGAGGAAGCAGCATTTGTTCTGTGATTGCAAAAAAAAAAAAAAAAAAAAAAACATTTTCTAGGCAGTTAAATTAACATGATCTTATTACTATTATTATTATTTATTTATTGTATTACCCATAGGAGGAAAAAAAAAATCACATATCACGTACAAATCAGTCTTATTTTAGTTTCTTTGAGTTACTAGTTTTTATTAATATTTTGAATTGGCTTTTATTTTTATATTTTCCGTTTTTATTTTTATTTTAGTTAAAGTTTTAGTATTGTTGTTGTGTTTTAGTCATTTTATTAGTTATTGTTTTTTTTATATATAAATATCTATATAGTTTTATTCATTTTTATTTCCGTTTTAGTTATTTAGTACATATTAAACTAAATAAAAATGAGAAATGTTGCCTTGGCAACTATAGCTTAAATAAAACAAGTTTAATTTTTTTTCAGTTAACATTATTTTATTTTAAGTAACGAAATTATTTCATGTTTTTAGTTTTAATTATAAACTATAAACTTTACTTTTAACTAGTTTTAACTATAACCCTTTCACCAGTAAAAGTATTATACTAATATATTAGTATAACTATGACTATTACTATTATTAATAGTCTTTACTATTACAGGAAACCTTTACGTCATCGATGGTTTTCGTCGGTAGCTTCACACACTGATAAGTTACCCATGATTCTCCGACAGTCTCTGCCGCTCATTCAAAAATGGAGGAGAGTGAGAGAAAGTCGGAAAGTGAGCGCTATTCAGCACCTTCCCAAACATCTGAACAGCAAACCACTACCGAGACCTCCGGCCAGAAGCTAGAGACTGGCGAAGATGATGTCGAAACTAAGTTGGATATCGGTTCGGATAAGTTTGACCCCTTACTCGCTCTGTATTCCACGAAAGTGCCGTTGCCTTACCCAAATATCAAGTGCTTTAATAACATAGCAGAATATGAGAGCTTTATGAAAGGCGGTCGAGGCCGAGCGAAACCGGAAAATGTGGAGAAAAGACTCCGAAAAGCACAGAAAGGTAAAGCAGACCCAGAGAGGATAGAGAGGTTGAAGAAACTCATGGTGAACAACCCGGTTGAGGAGGAGGGAGAGGGAAGCGGAGTCAAGCGACCGCCTCGACAGCGAAAAGCGGCCAAAAATGTGCTTACCAGAATGCCACGTACGTTTCTCTCTTTACTATGTTAGAAGACAATAGTAAACACTAAACTGGATTCTCAACCAAAAGTGCTAGGTGAGTTATTCCTAGGCTAGTGCTGTCTGGATAGGTAGCTCACTAGGTTGTGTCTATCTTTGCAGTGCATACAGGCAGTCCATTAGGAGAGCTCAATAGGTGCGTCCAGGAGAAAATCAGAGTCAAAGTTCACATCCGGACCTTTAAAGGGCTCCGTGGAGTTTGTTCTGGCTTTGTGGTGGCATTTGATAAGTTCTGGAACCTGGTAAGTATTAAAGCACCTTTACTTACTATTATCGTTACTAATAAATGTTTATCCCATTTTTTTTAATCCTCCGGATTCTTTTGGTGCCAGGCGATGGTGGATGTGGATGAAACGTACAGGGACACCCTTTTGGGACAAGCTCTTTATCACGAGAAAGCACTTACTGTCACAAGGGTAATTAATTTGAATGTTTTAATATACACCTGAATTTTACGAATAACCACGTCAAATCTTGATTGGTTATAATAGAAAAATAACCTTTTTTGTACAGTAGTTTATACTGTATGTTTACACTCTTTAATATAATTATATTGTTTAGAAATCTAATTACATTTTTTATTACAGCTCTTTGAAAAACTGAAAGTTCAAGAGACTGTGGCCCTCAGTGCGGTTGAGAGGAAAGGAGGAGATAACCTCTTAAAGCCAGACCCACACAGTAGTTTATCTCAACTCAGAGACCAAACCAGGAGTAGAACCGACCCCAAACATACCCAGGAAAGATCCGAACTCTCTGAGAAAGACAGGAGTACATCAAAAGTGACACAACAATCTGAAAGCAAGCCTAAAGTGAAGTATGGGAGAGTGCACACGCGTCATGTCAATCAGCTTTTTATACGAGGAGAAAACATTCTTCTTGTAAATGTACAACAGGACTAAATACTGTCCTTATGAAATATTAGTTTACTTTTTTTTTAAGTCTCCATAAAAAGTTTAATAATATGAGTGTATCATATTGATATGTATATCAACAGATGAAAAGAATGTAAAAAAACAAACATTTTTCTTAATGTTCCTTAAGAAAATCCTTAATTTTGGTTGGTTTATGAACTGATGTCACATACTCAACACACTATTTGTTTTTGCTTTGAATGACCACTAGGGGGAAGCAAGACACTGATTCGTTGTAAGCGTTGGCATTGCACATTTAGTCTTATTTTTGTTACACATTTTATAAATTATCAAGGGGGAAATTGAAATATATTTAACAAATCATTACTGATATTCATTTCACTGCTTGGTTAAAATGAAAGTAATTTATCAATCTCACTAAAACTCTAGGCCCGTCAATACACTCTTATTTTAATGTCAAACTGAAAGACTGTTCTATTTGACATTTATCTGTAAAAAATTGCAGTTGGATTTCTCCATGGATTTCATAAAATCGTACAAATGGGTTAATTGAGCTTTTTGAGGTTGGAAATTGCATGTGGCACTCAAGGCTTTTTGTCTTGACATGTATGAATGCTATGTTTCCCTTTCTGCATATTTTAGCCTTACATTTCTCACATCATGACAGTATAAAAACATTTTCTCTTCACTTTGTTTAAATCTTAGAGTTCCTTGTGATTTTACTTGGTTACGTGTACATATAAAATGCTTAATATCATGTTATGCTTTATAACACTTGATGTTCTATATTTCTTAATACAAATAATCAAGCCATGAAAATCTCAGTATCTTTAACCATTCTATATTTATGAGGAAAAGTCCAACATTTTCTTGCATATTCATAAAATTACCATTGGCACTGGCTAGGGGAACATGTTTTCAGATGGAAAGTAGATATGATTCTGAAGTACATATACAGAAAGTAATGGTAGGATACAGAATCATTCTGCACTGAGCATTTAAAAATATATACATAGACACTGGGAACTGTAGCCAGTTTCCTTGTCAGTTAATGTGACATTCATTTAATGCCAATTAAAAAGTTCACTGGAAAAGGATCCAGTGGAAATGGGACATGTGGCTGTTCTGCTTTCATCCTATTAATGCATGCAAAGTTAACATTTGAAGCCAGGTCCTTGGAGGACTCCAAGAACAGACTATTTTTAAGACATGAGATTGATTAGGGGATAAAAACAAGCATAACAATGAAAATGGAAATCAACTCTTTATTGTCATTCATAAAAGATCATAAGTACAATCAAGTCATTGTATGAAATTGAAAACATTAAACATTCTCAGTGGAAGAAAGATTTTGTTTTTTGTTGCTTGCTGTAGATTTGCATAAACATATAGTGTTTCCAGTAACACTCCCCAACCAAACAGACCTGACTACAAAAAAAACTAAACCAACCCGTCAGGGGGACAAAAGAAACAAGAAAGGAAGAATTTGGTCATTCTGCTTGTGAAACGCCTCAGAATGGAAGAGAGGGGCTCGGTTAGCGTCAGCAGACACTGGACAGAAACATGATATTGACAATACAGTGATGGTCCTCTGGATACAGCATCCAACTCAGTGCTACCAGGGTTTACAAACACACAGCCTCACCCTACACTCAGCATGAGCAGACCTGCATAAAAATACGAACCCATATCGGGTTCAGATATATATATCCTTTAGTTACCCAAACTCTTCCTTATAAGTTAACCATGCAAAAACATAAAAAATAAAAAAAAAGTGTGTGCATATATGTACACCACTGTATATGTATCTTCTTTAACAGTACCTTTAATAAATACTGTACTTTTCATATTGTCTAAAGAATTTTTTTTAGGAAGGCTGACAGGCACCATGTGTTCTAACGACAGATTTTGCATGTTCACAAAGATGCAAAGTAGATCAGATTACACATTTACTATTTAAGGCCACAAAGGTTTTGATTTGGAGTTGTAATTCTATCATCTTGATGTTAGAGTACTTCATTTCTCTTCAGAAAATGGTTAAAATCAAATACAAAATGGCAAAGTGATCACAAGCTTTACTCTATACAAAAATCCTCACCGTCATAATTCGTTAATCATGGAACACAATAACTTATTGTCTGTGGGAAAAAATATTTACAGGTTATCATCTTAAGGCAGAGTAGAGGAAAGGCCAGAATTGATTATTAGGATTTTTCTACAGCATTAGAAACCCAAATATTTCCTGGGTTAAATTAACAAGCTATATAAGAGGTTAAGGCCAATCAGAGTCATTCACTATCATCACATTCCTTAAAGCGATATCCCGACGCCATGGAAACGTGGGACGTGCGTGAGTGTGTGTGTGTGCAATGACTGAAATGATTCTCAGAACAAACCAGCCACCCTCAACAGGGCTCCTTGGTACAGCTGATCAGAAGAACATCGAAAATAATATAATCATCCAGTTGAACATCAGCATCATTTGAACAAACATTTCCTGTGAGGCTTTATTTGACATCTTTCAAGTAGTCTTTGTCTTCTAGCTCTTCATAGCTTCTTCATGGTCACATCTCCTGAAAGATTGTTCACTTGATACTTTGCGATTCATTTCCCAAAGTTGGCAAAATCTGCAAAGGCATCTTGTTTAGGCTGTCCCATGGCAGGGTTCATCCCCATTCCAGTACCCATGCTTCCTGGCATCCCCATGGCAGCTGTAGACATACCCATGTTCATATTCATTCCCATCATGCCCTGATTGACTGGCATCCCTCCCATGGGTGGCATGGACATGGCATTAGCTGTCATGCCAGGCTGCATGCCCATGTTCATTCCTCCCATCATGGTGTTGGTGGGCGGTTTGACCATTGTAGTGGCAGCCTGCATGCCCAGGTTCATTCCAGCAAAGCCCTGAGTCATCATATTGACAGGAGTCGGAACTCCTATTGCAGGATACAGAAAAATACAATCCATTAAAATAATCCAAATCTTTTTATTTTAGGTCAATTGTTTTTGGTGTATAAAATGTCAAACTGATTAATTTAAATGTGTTGTGTTTGTTTTTTGTTTTTTAATACACTACCGTTCAAATGTTTTGGAATGGTAAGATTTTTAATTTTTGAAAGAAGTCTCTTATGCTGACAAAGGTTGCATTTATTTGATTTATTTGAATAATAACAATTATTATTATTACCAATGTCGAAAACAGTTCATTTTTTATTTAATATTAATATTACTGCTTAATATTTTTGTAGAAACGGATTTTTGTCAGGATTCTTGAATACAAAGTAAAACAAAACAGCATTTATTTAAAATAGAACATTTTTTTAACATTATAAAATGTATTTACTGTCATTGCTACTATGTATGATTTTTTTTTTATCTTATTTGGAAAAATGTGAACATATTAAATGAAAATGCCGTAAGGTTTCAAACTAACAGCAATGTTCTTGATTCCGATCAAATTTCCTAAATTTCCGTTTTATAGCATAAAGCTTTATTTAGCATTAGCACCTTTTAAAAACTAAAGAGGAAAAATACAAAACAAAAAGAATGAGAAAATAAACATGGCAGATTGCTCTCTTCATCTCATTCAAGTTTTTATACATCATTGCCTTCTCACTTTTTAGAGCTCATTTAATTTACTGAACACCAGATTCAATCCTTTCCCAGACACTCAACATCAGTGTCTATATCAGGGGTGTCCAAACTCAGTCCTGGAGGGCCACTGTCCTGCAGAGTTTAGCTCCAACTTGCATCAACAAACCTGCCTGGAAGTTTCTAGTATGCCTAGTAAGATCACGCCATGATTAGCTGGGTCAGGTCTGTTTCATTTGGGTTGGAGTTGAACTCTGCTGGACAGTGGCCCTTCAGGAGCAGGATTGGCCCAGGTATATATGCTTACCATGCTGCATCATGTTGAGTGTGGGTTGAGAAGGTTTGGGTGGCTGCATGCCAGGGCCAAGGAAGTCCAAGCTTATGTCTACATTAGAGTTGGACCAGGTGGAAGGCACAGACACTTTGGGATTGGGCTTCTGGGCCATCGGTTGCTGGGGCATCAGTGGGCCCCCCATAGTCTGCAGTGGCTGCAAAGACCAAAAAAAAAAGTCAGTCAGTTTTAGGACAAACCATTCATGACAGCACCCATATGATCAAAAACAATGTTTCTTCTGATTTTGTTGAGATAATACTGTTCTGCTGCAATTCAAGCATGGTAATTAAAATTCTCCGATGGCCATGAGTGTTTGCCAATGGCAGAATGACACAAGTCAGAGAAGATGAAAGGCAGTATTAATACTCCAGAACATTGCACTGTGGTCTTTCAGGGTTATCAAGACTCTTGAGCTATACAAGACAGAAATGCTGGTTGAGAGGCATTGTCTTCCCCTAAAATTATTTCAGCATGTTAAAATGCATCTCAAGTCCCTCTAATTATAGGGGGGGGGGGGGGCTTTTTTCTTTAGCCAAACAAAACTTGCCATTTTAAAGTAGGTCAGGCTTTTAGCATGCAAATATTATCTTTGTGCAAGGCTTTTGTTTCAATTTAATGGTTTTCTGACTTAAACTTGTTCCTCCTCATTCTGCCATTCTCTGTGATGGGCGTCCCAAGGGGACCGGGGTTGATGGGTAATGAGGAGGGGGTGGGTGGAAAATTGTGCCGATGCTGCGTGTTAACCCTCGCTCATTTCGCTTTCATGTTGCCTGCTCTCTAAACCGCTGGCTCTGAACCTCGGCCAGAATTGTCTTTTCTTGCGTAAATAGTGTTTAGTGTGCAGTTCCACTTAGATGAGCTGCATTAAGTACTCCACAGATGGGGGATCTGAATGAAAACCACATCTATGTGCAATACAGGCTCTACATCACTAGGTTTCATCTTGATTCTTTGTGCTGTAAACATAACATTGATAAAATGCATAGGTACAGATTTGTAAGTTAGGCTAAAACTATCTATGTGTACAATGACTTTGCCTAATCAAATGTTTTATGGCTTATATGTATTATTTTTGTGGGGTTTTATTAGTCTATTAGAACTGAGGCAATTTTTGT